TTAAAAGCGTGTAGTGCAGCTCCATTATGCTCTTATTCTGAAGCATAATCCCAGATATGTCTGGGTGCTGCTGGGCGTGTTGCATTTTGCTGCAAACAGATACTGCTGCATGACACATCCCTGTGGTTGTGCCGTCTCACATATGGCTGGAATACTGAAAGGGCCGACCACACAGGGGCCCAGAGTCACCACCCACAAAACGTCCAAGAACGAGACACAAAAAACTCCACGATGAGACCCAGAATGACCACAAAGGTCCTCAGAGAGACGATCAAGGACCCCCATGAAAACACCATGGACATGTTTTTTTTTGTGACTCTCTCACTCTGGTTTTACATGTCTGTCAAATTGAGCCGGTTGTGACTAAACCTGTCCGACCTGGCTTTGGTATTGACGCATCATTTGATCAGGGAGTGGGTGTCCACTGGATTTGTCATGCACGGCTCTTACTTGGGCTGCCAGCCAGCCACCGTGCCTCACAACAAACGGCACGGCACCCTTTTCCGAAAAAGCAAATGAATGAGGTGAACAGTGAATGAAGTTACGTTGCATAGATTGGCGTAGCTACCACCGTGCTGCCTTTTGCATAACAACATTGAAGTGCATGCAGTTAAATTCCTCTCTGGTATTCTCTGCTTTTGTTTGAATTGACCTTTGTTGCACTCGCACATAGTTCTGGAGTCTTTGTTCGGCCTCGACTCCCCGTTGGACATGCTGGGATTTCCACTGGTCATGCTGAGTCTCAGGGGAGCAAAATTGCTGCTGTGGAGTCTGGTGTAAGAGGGGGGGCTGGATTGACGTGAGCAGTGACAGCTCCCGCTGAATCTGGCACCGTCAGCAAACTACTTGGGGGGGTGGGGGGGTCTGATGTAATGATGCTGCGCCTCGCAGGATTGAGGTTTCTGGCTATTGGAATAAGAATGTCTCATAAATTGTTCGTTTTTCTCGCTCTATCTGTACTTTTTTTTATTTAGATAGCTCGCTGTTTGCTACAGCTGTTGCTGCGCAGTCGATGAAAGTGAACCGCCCCCCCCGCGGGCCCCTCGTTAGATATGGATCGACTGAGCGTTTATTGTGTGAGAGGTGCTGTGTTATAGCCAACGAAAGCGCTCCTTCAGACAATTTCTGATGCTGCAATGTACACAGCAGAGGCAAGTCCTTTTCTGCCCAGTGGACGTCTTCTGTCTCGTTCCAGAGAAGTCTCGTCCTGCATTCCTCCCGTAAGGGAAGCAAATGCACCGTCAGGGCCCGTGGAGGAGGAAGACGAGCTGGCAGGAATTGTAGACCTCTGGGCTGTCCGGCCCCGGGGGTTCTGCCCTAAACGAAGCCAGCCGCCGCTCGGTGAGCTCTGCAACAGTCCGTCGCACTTTCTCCAATTAGGCGGATCTGTCCAGCGCCGTAGGACTGCTCACCTCCCACTGTTTCATTCCTCCCGGGGATCGCATTAGCGCTGAACTACACCAAGCCGAACATTTCAAGCTGCCGGTCTCCCCGCCGCTTTCCGCAGCGGTCTCGGCGTGATTGCGATTTGCTCAAGGATCACACACCACCGAATGTCGGCGCTGTACCCGGAGATAATTACTCCATTTGCGATGTTGCCCGCCGCGTCTGACGATCGGAGGCTTTTGTTGGTCCAAGACCTCGGCCTCGGCCCTAATCCACTGCGAAATGAAATCATCAAAAGTCGCTCAGCAACACAGCAGAGTGTTTGCTTTGATTTAGCGGGGAGACGTTCATTAGAGGTTTGGTGGTCTACTGGTCTTCAAGCCTAATGGCTGATGGATGGCTTTGATTTGCATCATGACAAATTACAATGCTAATCTGAGACAAATTACCAGGGAAAGTTAAAGTAGACTCCAGAAGCGGTCTTTTTTTTTTCATCCTCCCGGTCCCCACTCGCGTCACTTTCACTCTCTTTCCAGATTGAAGGCTGCAGTGCAGTTTTGCCGGTTACATAACGGGAAGGAAGAGGGAAATGGCAAAACTAATGAAGGCAAAAGGGACCGGCTAATGGAGACCATTTTTTGAGTCAGGCTCCAGTACTTCACACCGCCTCCCGTCAGTTTAAAGCTCCGCCTGACGACATAAAAGCAACAGTTTGTGTGTGTGTGTGTGTGTGTGTGGGGGGGGGGGGGTTCTATTGCTGTTGTTGTGATGCTGTACCACATGTTTCTGTTTTGACCTGTCGGTATCTCCTATTCCAATGCTTGATAACTGTGGTTGGAAAGATTTGGCCCATATTTAAAAAGCAAACTTTGACATTTTTATTTTCTACCGTTTTAGGATTATAATTTTCTTTTCCTCTCGCTTGAACGATTCGTTCATCCACATACTGCGTTTTCTAGCTGTAGCGCAGGCATTTTTTTTTCTTTGTTTTTGTTTCACGAGGGTAACGCCTTTTGCTTTGGAGCGTAAGACCTACCAATTGTGTCATGTCTTGGCAGAGGCGTTACTCCCCGTAATAAGAGGGCTGTTAGAAATTCCACAGGGGGAAAGTTCACAGTGATTCCATTGTCACCCGTGTTGGAATTGGAAGGGCGGCGTGTTGAAGGGACGCCAGGGCTCCAACAGCCACGGCTTTCACGCTAGTTATTTCCAATAAAGAATAATGTTATTTCTAGGATGTGTTATGTTTTGGGACTTCAGTCAGCGGGAAGTGGCCAACACCCGCGGCTGAACCGCGTCCGTCTCTTTCTCGACGCTGTCACCAGCGACCTCTCCGTTCGGGTAGTCGGTCCGTTTTTGTAACTCAAACGCTTAATTCCAAACCCTCAAAGTTCAGATGTGGTTGTGGTGGACAGCCTCTGGAGTTTACTTGTCAGAGGCATGATTCTTAATTGGCTGACGATGTGGGCTCGGTGACGTCCGCCCCCCATGCGCCCCTCCCTGACAGCTATCCCATTCGCGCCACGTCCCTTAATCGTCCGAGGGGCGTTGGTTGTCGTGTCATTCTCTTCGGGGGAAAGAAAAATCCCTCCTAAAGGGGTCCTATGCCGTTTACGTGCGTGTACATGCCCAACATATTGGGCCCCAATCTGGTGTCGTTTCCCAGGTGGAAAGCCCAAGGCCCCGGCCCCCCGGGCTAGAGGTTACGTAACTCTGTCTGTCTATTTCTGAATGCTTCAGATTAATACTGCCGACATTAGGCTGATATTGTTTTTAAAAATATTTTTCATTTTTTTTAAAGCACAATGGGTATTTTCTTTGGCTCATGCAGTGTTTGAGGTCGGAGCCTATTTGGAACCTTTTGCTCTTGAATATAATGAATGATCACATCTTGATGCTGTCTGAAATTCTCACTTATTTTTTTGGCTTTAGGCAATGAGTGTATTTAGGTTCATCCAGTTTTTTATATGCTGAGAAATCAGCACAGTTATCAATATGGTAGTCTACCTCTTGATAGCCAATTTACATAGTTAAAAAGAAAGGTATGTAATATGTATATTCACAAGCTGATAAATATGCTTTTTCAACCTTTAACTGTTCAGCTTTAAATGCTGCAGTTGAGATCCCAGATATGGTTCGTTGCTTTCAGGTTGTCCTTTTTGTACCTGTCAGTAAGTAATATGCTCATCATCAGGGGTTGTAATGAAGGAAATGTTAACCGACTAGGCTTTTGTGTTGGCGTAGGCCATTTAAATAATGGTTTCACGAAAGAGACCTTGAGTTTCATTTTACCTGTTTGAAGTCACCTACTAAAATGTCACTGACATGATGTCCATTTTCAAGAATAGGGGGATTTCTGTGCTTTTGTTAAAAGACCACGCTTGCCATTTTTAAAGTCTGACTAAAGACTCGTTGGGATATTTGCATAAAAAGCGTGCTTCGTGTCATTTTCATTCTTTTTTTGTGCTGCAATTATATTGGAAGTTTCACTTTTGATTTATTATTCATGCAGGCAGGATTCAGGCTTTGTAATATGCAAAATGTCTAGAGCATATTGAAATGGTGTGAAAAGTTATCCTTTTATGAGCTACTGATTAAAGTCAGCATGAGAAGGATTTGTCTGTTTGTTAACACAGCATTCGAGGTTGTCCGCTCCTCCCAGCAAGTAGCGATGCACCAATACTGGTACCTAGACCGACTGAAATGGTTTGATTATCAGGGACTATATCATTTTTATTTGTTCTTTTTTTTTTAAAGGATATTTGGTAAGCGGCCACAGTATTGGTGTTCAGACAGGAGGATTAAGCGGAGCTTCACTATCAGTCAACACCAGTGACGTTTGCAGTCATGGCAGAGCAGAGCCTACTGGGTGGGGGAGGGGAGGGGAGGGGGGGGTGATAGCCGATAGCCGGAATGGCAGCGAAATGGAGAGAAAATGGAAAATAAAGGATCCACACACTGCTTTCACGGAGAGGGATTCTCATGTGTACATCTATACATTTGTCTTTGCCTTTTACGTTGACAATAACTGGATTTGTTGTGGAATTGTTTAGTTTAAATTTCATGGTGCCTTGGAGTCTCCTAATTAAGAATAATTTTACTCTTTTAAATAATTGTGATCGTCGCACTGAAGATCATGTCTCCTTTAATATACAAATAAAAGAGAGCAAAGAAATGGTTACCTATAAAACGCAGCGACATGACACACTCACGACAGGCTAAAAACACATTTTATTTCGTGCTTCGGTTTTTAAAGTTTCCTTTCTTCTGCTGCAAATATTGTCAAGCAAACAACAAAAGCTTGTCAGTCTGTTCTAAATATTGGAAATCGAATGACTCACAGATCATAGCAGCAATCTGGTAATTTGTCTCAGAGGGTGGGCTGCAAACATGGAAGTGAACACCGACTCCCTCTCCTGTGCAACTAGATCCCCTGGAAGGTACAGAGCACCTGCAAATAGACCAGCGTAACTACTTTCTGCTCAATGATGTGGGATTAACTGCACATCCTCCTGAGCCTTCTGTCAATAAAAGATGTATTAAAGCGCTGTAAATATGCTCCGAAAGCAGCTGTGATGATACTTTGTCTGCGTTTCTTTTTTTCCCCCTCGCAGCCGTCCCGTTCCCTCCCAGTCACCGGCTCACGGCCAAAGAGGTGTTCGACAGCGATGGGAAGCCCAAAGTGGACGTGCTGAAAGCCCACCTGACCAAAGAAGGTCGCGTGGAGGAGGCGGTGGCCCTGAGGCTCATCGGAGAGGGCGCCTCGATCCTGCGCGCAGAGAAGAACCTGCTGGACATTGAGGCCCCTGTGACAGGTCAGTGGTCAGCTTTAGCACACTGCGTCAGGTTATTTGGATCATCGAGTATTTATTCGATTGTTGACACAAGGGTTATTCCCTCAATCCGCCTTCCACATCGAGGGCGTTTACGTGCTTTGTTTAGTCAATTGTGACAGCAAACTGAATCTGCTACTACTTATCTAAAGTTGGCCAACGGCGAGACCTTAGAAGCTTTGTGCCTGAAAGAGCATTTTATTTAATTTAATTAAACCTAAACTTCCAGAAAATATGAAGCTCTCGGAGGAAAAAGCCGTTTTTTTAACGAATTTGACAAATGAGCGATGAGGATCCGCTTCAAAGGATGAAAACAGTGTGCAATACATTCGGACGTGGCAGAAGAAGCTCCCTAACCATCCAGCTGTTTCCCTCCTCATTACTCCAAATCACATTCTAATTATGTACTACCCAAAAAACAACTTGTGCGGAACTGTCTGTTTTATGCAAACTAGACACTCGAATTGTGTGCGATTGGAACGGTGCACTCTGGGTTATTTCCAGAGTGGTCTCCCTGCTTACATTTGTTTTTTCATTAAGTGAGTCACTGTGTCTCAGGGCCGCATGTGGGCCATGTGGCCAGCCATAGCAGTCTGTTTTATATAATGAAACTCACAGGTTTAGTTCATCCGATTTGCCAAAACGAACATTGCTCATTAGTGCTCACTTGCTTGACCGCTGCGTGAATTGAAGCCCAGTTGTCACGCGGACGAAGCTCAAACGAGGCTGGCTTTAAAAAACACTGGCAGACCTCGAGTTAAACACGACTAATTCCCCGTTTTTCATCCGAGTTGCTATCGAGGGCGGCAGAAATTCGAGGAAAAAAGCGGGAATATTTTAATCTCATTTGTCTTTTTTTTTGCTCCTAATTTTTCCACAATGTTGAATTCACAGTTGGGCTCCTACTCGGGCCTGAAGAGCGGCCCTGGTGCTGAAGTCCAACTCATTTGTGGCGTCCTCGCTAAGAGAACACGGCGTGGAAGGACGCCCGCTGATGCATATGCACAGAACCAGTGCATCTATTGTTGTCTTTCTTCCTGGTCAAGTGCCCTGTTCCTCCATTAGACTTTCTGATGAGGTTTCTTTGATGTTGTTGTAATCCGAGGCACGGACGTATTCAAAAGGATCTATGGTAACCCATCATCATTCGCCAATAAGGGATTGTTCTCCAGATGCAGTCCGGAGTGGCCTATGCTCATGGCCGGCGCAGTGCTTACTTAATTTAATGGATGCACAGCCCTCGTTGAACAAAAGTGCGGGTCTCGTATGTTTACTGAGGCCATTTGCAATAATAGAATATTTTGTCCGGCTGTTCAAGAGAGTGAAGCTTAACAAAAAGATGCAAACAGGTTGGACAAAAGCCTTATTTGCTGCCTCGGTCTTCATATTTGCGGGCACACAAGCAAGGGATTAGTGGAAATCCTGTTAAAAGTAACTAGATTTTCTGATTTTGTGTGTATAAGTGTAACCTAAGCAATTTTTAGGTGAAAAAATCTGTCTACTAATTCCATTCTAATGCTCAAATTCAACACAATTGTGTTTATCTTCCAGTTTAAAGTATAATAAAATAAGTAATATTATTAAATAATTTCATTTCCACAGGGAAACTGTTCTGTTTATCAAACCTGAACACGTAAAGCAAAGCTGCGTCCTCTGAACAAACAGAGAACTAGTGACAGTTTATTACAAAGGACGTCAGTCTGAATGCAGTTTAAAACGCGCTCGTGCTGGATTCAAAATACGGCAGCCGTTGTGATGTAAACGAGGGAGTTAATCCGACATAAGCACCTGTTATGATGTTCTGTCTCGACCTGATGCAATCTGGTTTCTGGTGTGTAAACAGAACACTAACTCTGACCTTCAGGTGCGCCGAGGTTGTCGTTTAAATCCTCAGAAGCTCAGTCACGAGCCGACGTGTGTTGATTTTAGATTTGAGAACTGTTCAGCGATGGTGTCGGCCGGCAAACCTCCTTCCTTTGTTGTGTTGCATGGAAACAGTGGACTGCTCCCGTGTGTGTGTGTGTGTGTGCGCGTCTCTTTGTGTGCCCACACTTGTGTACACGAGCGCGGCGGTGAAGCACTTCTTTCCCTCCCACTCAACGCCCCTGTCTCAACCCCTCTCCCACGCAGCCGAGTCCTTCTCCGCGAGGATTTCTCGCTCTGCGCGTGCACGCGATCGTACTGTGTTTCCCCCCCTCGTGCGCGCTCGCAAACTCGCACACACACACACACACACACACGCCACGCTCTTTAAACATTTCTTTGTTTCTCTCCCCGTTCCCCCAGGCTGCCTAGTTTAATCCCTCTGTGCCCCCCCCCCCCCCCCCTTCTCTCTCTCTAGAGCACCTGCAATTCTAACATGATCCATTGGTCAAATAAGTAATGAGTAAATATGAGTAAATATTTATCATCGATGCAGAGCACTTCCTGGTCGGGGCCAGATGGCAGGTGTGTGTGTGTGTGTGTGTGTGTGTGTGTGACGACCGAGCTGGCTTAGCCCACCGAGTACATGCTGCTCCCGTAGCCTTCGCACACCCATCGGACGATTTATCCCCCCGGCCCCCCCGCCTCTACAGCCACATCACCAGGCAACAGCGAGCTTTTACACAGTTCATACACCTGTCTGCAGCGCGGCCTGAGGATGCACACACTCCAACGCGGATGACGGGTGAAAGTGGTTTTTTTCCAGTACATGCATGAGTTTCGGAACGCGAGATTGAGGCGTTTAAAGACCAGCTGTTTGGGGAAAAAACGAGTCAGAGATATTCAGGTCTAAAATATTGTGTGCACATTTAAAAAAAAAAAAGGCCCTGATAAGAATTGTGCTTGCTATGCGCAGCGTTTCAAGGTCGTTAAACCTTTTCCTTTTCAGTTTGTCACACGCCCGTTTTTCAATGAGAAATACACTCAGAGCCAGATGGATAAATCGTCCGGTGTGATATTAGCTTATTGTAGTTTTTTACACTCTCCCATATCGATTGGTATCCGGTCCACAAATCCAGTGTAGGTCGGCCTAAAATTCATATTCCTGCCACGGTTTTCACTCGAGAGCGCCCAAGTTAATCAGATTTATTATTTTGAAAGGCCAGATCAGAATAACAAGGCTTTTGTCTTTTCTCAAATGTCTTTCTGTCTTTGTATGTGAAACACTGGAAAGTGTCGTTCACACCAACTCAGTCACTTGAAGTTCCTTGAGACGTCCAACTCTAAACCAGTGTAACATTCACTCTTTGCTGCTGTTCCTGAAATGGCGGCTTGTTAAAAATCCCGTACAGTTTGATGTTCATAACAGATTGCGAGCTCCAGCCCCCCCCCCCCTTCCCTCTGAGGCTCTGAAGGATATACGCTCTCAGAGAGCGGCATCGCACCAAAAAAAAAAAAACGGGGGTACAGTTATCATCCAGTCTCAATCAAAACCCGATCTGGCGGTCTGCTCTCGCCGCGGATCGCTCTCGCTCAATGAGTGCGGCCTCGCCGAGTGGCCTGTGTAGGTTCTGAAGCCAGGTTGTGTAATGCCTGCCACCCACTCAATAGCTGCTGCTGCCCGCTGATACGCTGCTACTCAGGCAGATCACTTCAGTGCACAAGCAGGAGATGGCCAGAACAAATTGTTATTATTTTTTTATTATTTTCTTTTTATCACTCCCGATAATGTACTCCCACCTGCTCTTCTGATGTGGGCTCCGGTTCCCACCTCTTTTTTCTTTTTGTGCATTGTGTGACAAGCGGGGAGGGAGGCGAAAAAGCACGTCTGTAGGTGTACCGCTGCACAGCGATGGACGGGGATTGCGTGTTTGCTGTGATGAAGCCGGGCCCCCGAGCTGGAGGAGTGAGCTGTTGCGCCGTCCATTTAAACTCGTGGGACCGGCCTCGTCTACGCTCAGCGCCATTCACACTGAACCTCGCATTCGGTGTTTTTTTTTTGTTTTTTTTGTTTTTTTTAAAAGCCGGTGATTAAACTCGCGCCTTCCCCGCTGTTTTTCCTTTAACTGGCAAGTGACTGCTTGCCGAAAGGTCAGCCGGAGGCGGCGTCCTCACACATGCGGTGTGTTTGACGTGTGCTCCAGGTGAAATCGCAGCCTGACCTCGTACCCTCCCGCGGACCTGACCTGTGAAAACGTGCAAATATTGCAAATTTCCCTGTGAGCGCGACATTTTCCCAAAAATTGCTCGGTTGGTGGTCATCCCTTTGAGACGGAGAGCTGCACTCCGGGGCCCAGTGAAATGCGAGTGGGTTCAGAACGATGGCCGTGCACAGGGGTTGGCTGCCGGCTGCACGCGTCCCTGTTTGTACACAGCGGACGCGTTGCATCGTCTCCATGGGTGCCGCTTGTAGAGGTCAGCTGCTGCTTAGGGTTGCTTTGAGCGTTTGTTTCCATAGCAATAACCAGCCCGGTTATTCTTGATAAAAGCTGATGAATTCAGTGGATTGTCTAGTTTTATTTCATCTTGACGTTAAGTGGTACATTAGGCTCTAAAGTGAATCCTTAATGGTGGCCAGGATGCAAGAAAAACAAGACATCATTACAAAAATGATCTGCAAAGGGTGACGTTTAATGTCTGCAGGTTTAAAGAAGAGGGCTCTCGCTATAATTGCTTTGTTTTTATGGTTCTACATTTGGTTTTTGATTGGAGGTTTTAATGTCCTTGTCCAGCCAGTACATGGTTCATCCTAATTGAAAGTAAAACGTAAGCGTACACACATGGTTTTACTTCACCATCCAAGTGAAACCCGGTATTTGAATCATGAATTGAATAAAGGCTAGCACATTTTCTGAAGCGTAGAGGAACTATTGTCACAAGGGTTTCTCTCAATTATTAGTCATTACACGGACGCATAAAAGGACAACAATGATGCATAAAACATTTTTGCTCAAACTTAAGGGTTTTTGTAGAAAATAGACTATTAACTCACACTGTCCACTCACTGTCACCTACTGTGTTGGTAATAAAAGAGGTGGTTCAACAATGACTAATATGGTAGGAATGGAAGAACAAAAAGCATGTGAACAACTCTCCAACACATATTTTTGAGTGCATACTGGCCTGGTACATTGGTATGTTTTAGAGGATTTTTTTTCCCTTCCCTTTCTCCTTCTCATATAAAAATCCCGTCAACACCAGCAGATGAAAGCAGGGGAGGGGTGGGCACGGGGGAGGGAGGGGTGTCATGAAGCGGTCTAACTGTGCTCCGTGTTTGCTCTGTGCTCGTGTTGCCGTGATCGCGAGAGGAAGTCCGGGCATCTTCAGAAACCAAATGACCAGGCTGCTTCTCTGAGTTGGTCGGCCGGTGCAGATTGAGGCGGTTCCACAGTGTGGGCGTGATAAGAGTCTCCTGGTTAGGCGAAGGTTTACAATTGTCAAGCAGAGCCGCCTCACGAGGCTCGTAACTCTGGATAAGTGCTCTCCGACGTTGTCCTCCGGCTCCCTCTAATTGGATATCTCCCTGAGACTTTTTCACTGACTCCTAACCGTAATTCCTCCTGCGTGCTACAGTTCATAAAGCAGTAAATAGCCTTACGGAAAAGAAAGTGTCCTTTTTTCGAATTCCATTTCGATCCGTTCACCCTTTTGTTAATGACTTAACTAACTTAAGTATAGCCGACTCACGGCCCCTTTGGAATCAATCGCCGTGCCTCGAGTTCATACTGATCACGTTTGAGGTCGCTGGTCGTTGTCTTCGTCGCCGCTCTCGGGGGGAAGAAGGTGACTTTTTCCCAACTCGTCTGTAGTATCCGTAAGCCTTTCGGTCAGTTGCGATGCTGTTTCAAACGCACCGGCTGGTATGGATTTAAATATGGGATGTAAACGTCTCGCCGTTTGCTGCCCACGGGGGGGGCCAGGCAATGTGACATCTCAGAGGTCGGGGGCCGACCTACGCCAGACACCATTTGACAGCCTTTAAAGGAAATACGAAGCGCCGCATCAAAGAAATCCCAAAGCAGTACGAGCGGTGCAGGAGCAGCTAGAACAAACTCGGTAAATTGGCCCGATAGACCGAACCGGAGGAAGAGTAAAACAAGCACTGCGGAGCTGAGAATGATTAAAGGGGATAAACGTTTAGACCCAGGCGACTGCTTCACCGAATAATACATTTTTTTCTGCCTCCTTTGTATTCAGTGTCAGTGAAACAAATTTGCCTATTGTGTTCACTTTTCGTGGAGAAAACTTCTCAAGAATCTTCTCAGTACCTGGACAGTATGTTTGAATGCCAATAAAGAAAGAAACGAACGGATATATTGCCCGTGGGTTCTCGTCTATCTTCGTGCACAGAAGACTGTGTACTCTTTAAAGCTACCATGTATTTATGGTGGTTAAACGGGATCTGCTTTCCAGCTGCAGGTTTCACTTTTTAAAAGATACCCGCCTTTCTTTTTCAGCCGCAAATCTGACAGTCGGCTTGAGTAAATGTTGTTGTGATCAAATCCATAGTCGTTTCTCTTAATATCTTGTGGTTAAATCCACATCATGTGTCTGTCGTCCAAAAGTGGACGATGCACCATAATGGAAGTCCCGATGATTCTTCTCAATAATTCATTTTTGGTTGGGTGTAATAACCCTTTGAACCAACCTTCAGAGTGACGAAAAGAACTGACCTCAGGCCCATTAAATCAGACGCCCCCCCCCCCCCCCCCCCCTTTTATTTTAGGGCAGCAAATCTTCTGTGGCCTCTGCTCCCATCTTCTCCTGGGAGAGTAATAGTGTGAAGTCCCATTTCCCATTCGGGGTAGATTGTTTGTTCTTGATTTGTGAGGCGGATGGGCTTGTCCCAGGACTCTCCCCGGACACAACCCCCCCCCCCCCCACCAACAGGCTGTTGGCACTATTTCACAATACATCCAAATGGAGACCACTGAAAGCTTTCCAGTAGTTTCAGCCAACAAACTTTGAAGTGTATTTGATGAGGATGCGCTTAGAAAACCCCTCAAGGGTTGGCCGAAAGAGGATGTGGTGGACAAGCAAGCTGCAGCCAGGGCTTGTTATTCCTCTCCCTCTTGGTCAGCTACTTAAATAATTAAAAAATAGTAGGCACTGGGGTAAGAGCCTTTGAGTGAGTGGAACTTGTCTGAAGATTGCAATAAGACCGGTTTTTCTTTGCGATGTTATTCGTGGCATCTGTTATATTGGCCAGTGTTCTTTTGACGTTATTTTCGGTTCTGTCCTTTGGATTATTTTCCTGCTCTAAGCGTGGGCTGCGAAGCTGATTGGGGTCCGATGCTTTTTTTTATTTTTCAGTCACAGATGAGCAGCTTGTGTTCATAAAACATTGTTCAACAAAGCAAACTGATTAAAAATGACTCAGTGAAGCGCCAGATAGACTGTTGTCGCTCTTATTATGAGAACCCACCAAAGTAGATCTAGGATTAGGATCTTACACGTATGTGCCTTTGTTTCCTATTCCAGTGTGTGGAGACATCCACGGGCAGTTCTTTGACCTGATGAAGCTCTTTGAAGTGGGAGGATCACCAGCATCCACGCGCTACCTTTTCCTGGGGGACTACGTTGACAGAGGGTATTTCAGTATTGAAGTAAGTCTGGGTATTTTTTTAATTTATTTATTTTGTCCTCACAAGGGCCTAATCAAGTGTGACACACTGTGTTTATTAATAGCTTTCTTTGAGCGAGGATCAAATCAAGCTGCAGATATTGGCGTGTTGATAGGGCTTTGTAATAACTTCAAATACAGCCCAGATAGCAAATCACAGTATCGCAGCCTTATATAGAGGGAGTCCATACTACCAAGTAAAGTAAAGTAGTTATTCTGCTGCTGCATATTAGAATGAACAGATCTGTATTTCTTGCCATCTCATCGCCTGAAACCGTACTACTTTTATTAATAAAACATACTGTAATGGAGTGTGCCGTGCCTGTCCTCTGATGGCTCCTCTGAAGGATTGTCATCTCCTGCAGCAAGCCTGAACTATGTCACCAAATGTACTGCATGAATGTTTCATGATGAGCAGAATTGCTTGTAATATGCCATCTGTGATATTGACAAAGTCTGACAGTTCATGTTTCCAGTTTTATTTAAAAGATGACAACCTAACTGGTCCCCAACCATTTTTTGTGCTTCTTTGTTTCAGTGTGTGCTGTACTTGTGGGCCTTAAAGATCCTTTACCCCAAAACACTGTTTTTGCTGCGTGGGAATCATGAATGTAGACATTTAACAGAGTATTTCACATTTAAGCAGGAATGTAAGTAATGCTTTGTCACTTTTTCCACCTTTTGATCTCGATTGAGTCCAAGCGTTCTGATCTGTGACTCCTAGTATAGATTTAAAGGAGGTCTGAGTTCTTCTTTCTGAGAAGCTGTTTATTATGCCTCCAGTTCAGCCATCGACCTGAAACACTCACTTAAAGGACTTACCACCATCTTTGACCTTAGCGATGTGTTCGGGAGTCAGAATTATTTCTGCTGCACTCTGGCGGAGAACGGGGGGGAGAGGGGGGGAATACAAAAGAGTTGTGAAATTATGCTGTTTCTTAAAAATGTGTTTGGGAGGTTTTATGGCTCGTTGGAGAGCCTCTCCTTCTGCAGTCTAGCACACTGTGAGCCTCAGTGTACGAGTGTGTTGTTTGACTTGGAATGCTTACCTTTCCCTGCCCTGTCTGCCCCCCCTCCTCCTCCTCCCCCCACCCCATGACAGGTAGAATTAAGTATTCAGAGAGAGTGTATGACGCATGTATGGACGCCTTCGACTGCCTTCCCCTGGCCGCCCTTATGAACCAGCAGTTCCTGTGTGTACACGGAGGACTGTCTCCAGAAATCACAAATCTTGACGACATCAGGAAAGTATGTGTCTGATTTGAGACCATTTTCTCGATCATTTCATAAAGCTACAGTTTTGCTTGTGCTTGCTTGGCGTGTGTGTTTTGACAGCAAGAGGGGGGGGGGGGCGTTAATGGCTTTAAAAATACAATTGCAGCTCCCTGAAAGCCTTGTGTACTTTGTGCATTCATTCAAAGTTAATGAGGAGATAACTGTATTTCTTTTAGCGTGATAGGCTCTGTAAATAACAACCTCTGTTGCAATGCCTGAAGTAATTCTCCCGGATGTGTCTCAATTACTGCTCAGGACTCGGGACACGAGGGAATGTAAGCACCAGGTCTGGTCTTTACTCTGATTTAAAAAGAAATAAAATAAAAAATGTTAAGAGACCAAACCTGCTTTCAAATTAATGCAATAATTCCAAATGTATTTTATGGCAGCAATGAGGGGGCATGCATAATGGAATTTGCTCTATTGAATTGTCCATCATTCCACCCAGCCAGTAATCTACAAACTTTTCGTACGAAAAAGATCCGTCCTTGGCTGAACAAGTCATTTATGTTCCTTTGTTCCAAGAAATACGGCTGTCATTGAGTTTCTTTATCATGTCTTTCCAAAGAGAAAAAAAAAGGCTTCCTTGTACTGAAAGCCGAGTGCCGCCTTTGATTACGTCCTCCACACCGTATATTCTAAATATTCCACTCCTTTCTACCCTGAATAGAATTTGAAATCACTCAGCAAGCGCGTGAGTCGGAGTCCCGATTGAATTCCGATCACGCCGCCGCCGCTCTCCCCGAGGTGGCCAAAGTGTATACTCTGCAGCAGAATGCGCATTCACCCAGTCCAACACGGCTGACACAAGTCCCAATTTTTCTTCCACAGTTAGACAGATTCAAAGAGCCCCCAGCATACGGACCGATGTGCGATCTGCTGTGGTCCGACCCCCTGGAGGACTTTGGGAACGAGAAGAGCCAAGAGCATTTCACACACAACACAGTGCGAGGCTGTTCCTACTTCTACAGGTGAGTGGTCCGTCTCTTACAGTCAGAAAAAATATTTAAAAAAAATATTTTAATTTTTTCCTGTGTGGGTCGTTACTTAATTAACTATTTTTGTAATGCCTTATATAATGTCATAAAGCATTCCAGCCAACAGCCAGCCAGATAGCAGCTTTGGTTCTGCACTAACATTAAATAGCATCTGGAGTGTTCAGTCTATTAGATTCACATTAAGCCAGGACTTAGTCTTGGACGGTGGAATTAAATGCTAATGTTCTCAGTAACCATAATCGTAAAGCACATTTTTCTTAATTTAGTCTTCGGACTAGTTTTTTTCTTTTTGGCTGTGCTGTACACTGTGTCACAACACAATGAACATCTTCCAAAGCAGAATAATGGAACTCAATGAAAGTTGCTCAAGTACTTAATTAATCATCAACAAAAGACGAAGGCCGAAAAATGAAGAAGTTGAGGATTCACAAACCCCGGCTTCCAAATTCCCCAACATTTGTGCGAACGCGGCGGACACCAAAGAAGTCCCAAAGTCTCTGCCGGCCACCACAGTTTACGCCCCCCCCCCCATTACCGCCGATCGAACTGAACAAACAGAGGAACGGGGGTGCGGGAAGATCGCGCAGTCACCAAATGTAGTGAACTGGCACGTTACCAGACGGCTCAGCTCTGTTTGTCATTATGGCCCAAGCAATGCTCGCCCGGGCCCCGGCGCGCTCGGGGCAGGCTGGCAGAAGTACTCCGAAATGTCCTGAGGCTCCTGATTTGCATTTCCGTTTTTTTTTTTCTTCTTCTCGTGAACAGGTGTTTCATAACCACTGACTTAATAGTATTTTAATGTCCAGGCTCAGTGATGAACTCCCAGCGCTGCGCCCGTTGTGGAATCGGGAGGAGGAGGGGGGGTGTTTTGCCTGATGGGCTTGACATCTTTATGTAAGCTATTACACTGCAGCTGAGGAGAGAGCCAACATAGATGTCCGGTTTATAGGGCTCTTTTTTTCCGTGTTTTTGCAGTGAACCAGCACCCTGGTCAGCCTGCTGTCATTTGGTCAAAATTCCTCCGCCGTCCTGTTTTCATCAGTGTCCCTCTTGTCAACATCTGCCCATGGCACGGTCGCTAATTGGCATCACGCTGGCATGCAGGATTTATGAGACAGTTTAAGCCAGATGGAGAGCAATTCCTCAGCTCCCCTAAAACATTCAGCTTCTTTTTTAGCTTCTGTCTTGCAGCAACCTACTCCCCTCTCCCCCCCCTCCACCCCCAGAGCCGTAGGCGCGCTCGTAACTCTTTTATAAACGCAATTCAGCCGTGAAATTGCACGTGTTTTGAATACGGTCGCATCCATTTTAGCCGCCACTCAGCAGCGTGAAAATTATCCGCCTGATTTTTTTTCCTTCCTGTTTTGTTTGTATGGGTATTAATTCAAGCTATTGATATGAAACCAAATGAGAAGCTTTCATTTTCACATAGGAAACATGCAATGTGGAACGCGTTCGACAATCCTCGCTTTGTCCAAGGGGCTCATTAGCATCTGTGTCCTGTTATCAGACAGATGGGAGACGCTCAAAACTTTAAAAAAACACCTAGGACGAAATGTACCTTGTCTGCAGAAGGGCTCCATATGGCATGTATCTAAATCTGTTGCACGAAAAGTGAGAAATAAAACATTTATTCCTTATTTCTTCCCGCCTCCCCCCAAAACTCATTAGGTTTTTAATTCCCTCTCGGCAACTGCTTTTCCGATCCCTCCCAGCAGATGTTTGTTGTGAGGTGTGCGTGTGTTCTCTAATCTACATGAGCCACCACCATCGTTAATGACACTTTCTGAACTTTTGAGTCTCACATCTCACATTTACATTAAGAGATGCAATAAAGCCGCAATAAAAGTATAGCATTTCAGTCAAACGCCACGCTGGATTTGTTTTGCAGGGTTAAAGTCAACACAAATCTCTTGGTACTTTTCCCGAGAGGTCGGAAGTCAAAACGTATGGTTTTGTTTTTATTGCTTCACGTGGGCGTTCTTCATTGCTGTGCTCTGATTTTGCAGGGGCGTTGAGCTGGGATTACAGAACTTAATACGAAGTCATAACTGTTTTTTGAACAAACAAAAAAAATCCTTTGAATCCTTGAACAACCAATATTTGTGCATTTTGAGATCGTTCACGGATATTTTTCTGGAGTTTAAAAACAATAAAAGACTACTGATCCATGTAGTAGCATTGCTAAAGGTTTCACACTGCACATTGTAATGGAGATGCCCCCAAAAAAGCCGCTACGTGACTTTCATGTCAATCAGACTCGTCGGCGTCTTCTGCCTCATCGTGAGCAGAGGTTCGTTCCCGTGGAAGCTGGTGCTGAGAAACGACTTGTTGTAGCACAGAGAAGCCTGAAAGCACGCCTCATGGTTGGCGGTACGGTTTTTAGTCTCCCTCCTCACAGACCGAATCCATCGGCGTGAGCATAACGCACGCTCGAACGCTCCCGAACGATCTCCCTCTTTTCGGGAAAAGAAAACCGTCTGCTATGAATCATGTGTCATGCTTGACGTTCCTTCTCCAGAGAACTCTTTCATTCTCTTCATCTTCCGCCTACGGCTTGGAGGCTTGTTTAAAAAGGAAAGCACGTTATGGCTTAATGTGTGGATTGTGATACCTTGGCTGGCGAACGCGTTCGAGACCCCTAAACGGGCCGTTTTTTTCAAATTAGGTTAAATTCGAAATTGATATGAAAGCCTTCACTTGCGGGCGACCTTGCTTTTCTAAGCCACACCGGCTTTTAGAACAAATTTAGCTTGAACCCAGTGTACATCCACAGTTTCTCTCAGCACAATCAATAATATCAAGGTTGTATTTCATTATTTCTATTGATTGTTTCTTCTACATCTTACAGTAAACCAAATGTTTGTCTCTTCATTCAACAGCTACCCTGCAGTCTGTGACTTTCTACAACACAATAACTTATTATCTGTCATCCGGGCCCATGAAGCGCAGGATGCTGGGTAAGTGTTGTGGCATTTCTCCGTCTCCCGTCACACTGTCACGCGGCAGAATGACTCAGTCCAGGGTATTAAATGAAAAGCCACCCTGGTGCTCTGTTGGGTTTTTACTCGAGCCGGTTTTCCGGTGCAGTCTGAACCTTTTCAGAGCCGTCGTGGTAATCCAAGGAATGAAAAGCGAATCCAGCATGATGGGAACTGTAGGATCCTCGCGGACCACTTTGAAAAGCGGCAGCTTGATTGTGGCGTTTTTGTCACAACGCCTTGTTTACTTCACATTCAGACGCACTGGAAAGCTTTCTTCTAGAAAGCAGGATTATTTTAGTGTTTCGACGGGCAGGTGGGTGGATGTGTCAAGCCGATCTCCCCTTTAAGCGGGGTTGAGGCGGCAACACAGTTGTTTACCATTCCCCCCCGCGGTCCTGTGGTCACACGGGACCAGTGGAGGCGTCTCAGGTGAGGCTGCAGCCCCGAGCCAATTCAGACCGCGGGGACGTTAGTGACTCTCCTATATGTGTTGCTTTTTTAAAAAATGAATACGAAAGAGTTTGCTGCAAATCCTCTGAAGCTAGTTCACCTCAAGCCAGGTATCCAAAACCACCAAACACGGCACAGACGTTCCCGGTGGCTCCGAGGCAGGGGGGGGGGTTTGAATGCCGAGGTGGCTCTGTGTGACGCTGACTACACAGGGATTTACTCTCCGGAGGCTGCGCCCAGTGGCCCCCATTGCTGATGCATCAGCTCACAGGACAAACACACGCGAGTGGGGAAAACAAGAGGCCATAAAAACCCTCGCTGCTAATCGTGTCTCGAGGGGATGGACACCCAACGATTACTCCACAAGCACAAGGTTGTCGTGTTTACTAACGCGTGCCTCTCCTTTTGTTTCACCAGATATCGCATGTACAGAAAGAGTCAGACCACTGGCTTCCCGTCCCTTATCACTATCTTCTCTGCACCCAACTACCTAGATGTCTACAACAACAAAGGTAAGCAGCGCCTTCAAAATGAGAAAGTTTCTTATTTGCAGCATTGGGACTTTTCTAAATACTTTTAGCGTGCCATTTTGCACAGCACGGCAAGAACTAATTGAGAGCATTACCAATGTTCTTTCCCACCATCTAAGAATATCGGGGCCAAGGTAGAACACGCCAGCTGACATTGCTTACCGGGGGCTCACGAGCCCACCTGTTTTTATCTCTGGTTTAGACTTGAGAAAAATATCTGGCTCCCTTTTTGGTTCAGTTTACACTCCCTTCCCTCTCCACTATGCTTTGGCTCCCCACCATTTTGCACTGGGCAAACACCACACAAATTAGTTTTTTGAAATTGATAACCAGGGCATTATATTTTGGGCCTGGAAGAGTGAAAGCTCCATAGAGTTGAGCTAATGGTACTGACAACTTTCTCACGTTGTTGGAGGCTTTTGTTTTACTGGCGGAAGAAAATTAGCCTTTTACAGTAACACTAGCACATCTACAGTGATGCTTATGCATCCCATCTTAATAAATAAACAATTTGTCTGCAGCCTCCTTTAACGAGAAACGTTAAATAGTTCCATACATTTCCTCTTAGGGTGAGTGTCTTGTTTTCCAATTACCCCAATACGCTTAAGTCTTAAGTTTCATTCATCGGATAACCATTTTTAGCGTTTTTTAATACACAAAACGTGGACTCCAGTATCGCACTTGTTCGGTGACAATAATCCATGCGACATTGACATTGATCCCGTCAATTCTCGAGATCAAGCTGGTGAGGAATGAAGTGGCGTGCTGCCGGGTCGGCTTGGCACCTGGCGGTGCCCTATGCTGTGCTACGGTGCCTACGCAGCAAGATAGGCTTGCCTCTGTGCTCCGAGTCAGCACTTTTCCCCGGAGAACAGCGAGTATATTGCTTGGGCTGTGGGGGCGGCGATGGGCCAACCACAGGAAATGGAAATGGGAAGGAAAGAGCGATGGTGCTGGTTGCACGCTGCTTTGTTTTGCAATTGCTCTCGTTATGAAATGCCGCTACACGGCTTTGCAGTGCGGGGCTTTTCCGTGTGAGTGCATCTCACGAGGGCGCGGCGGGGGGGCGGGGGGGCCGTCCTTTTTCTATTTTCTTTTGCCCCATTTGCAGGTGTTTAGTCGATCTAAGATTACAGCCCCGCCCACCCCTCCTCCCGCGGCAGAAACGACAGTTTGGCTGTCTGTCGTGTTGTTTATTATTAGGACCCCATGTGCACCATGCCAACTAATCTTCTGAGTCCTCACGGTCAGCACAACACAATGTGAACAAACAAACGAGCGATCTCCCGCGCACGTTGTTTTTAGTTCCGGCGGCCGATTGGCAAATCGGTTACACCTCTCCCGCTCGATATGGAATATGGAAATTGGTCTGTCCCCGGCCCTCAGCGGCCTCTGGCTGACCTTCAGTTGATCAGGTGCCTGCCAGAGCAAGAGTGGTTATCAGAATGGAAAATTTTACTCCGGGTTTCATTTTTCCAAACTTCAACGAGGCTCGCTGATGCCTCCTTACTGCCAGGACGACGTGTTCTTTATTTCTCTCCTCGTTCACCTCCTGCTTCAACACGAGACGCACTTTTCTCTTCGACCACATCTGTCATAAAGGGGCAAGATTTTTGGCTTTAAAGTAAAATACAGGAGCAAGCGCTAAAATAAAAATCCCTTAAGCCAAGAAGCTGTGGTCATGTAATTAGTTGGTTCTCAATCTACTTTTATCAACTGCCTGCTGAATGTAATGAATCGGTCTTCTCTGAGCTTCTTGATTGCGCTGGAAGCGAACGGAGGCTGTGCCGTGATTGATGGCCAATGCAATGGGCCCATGAATCTTAAAGGGGAGGGCGGAGGCATCGACAGGTCCAATCAATACAGTGCAGGGAGTCGGCCAGATAAACCAGCGAGACGGCCCGTTCGCCTCCTCGTCTCCCGTTGGAGAAGCAGCAGGAGGCGGAGGACATCTGCGAGGCGCCGCGAGCAAAACGACAACTCTTCCACCAGCAGCAGCGGCGGCCGAGTGGTGACTTGTGGCAGCGTCCGGTCGATCAACACCCGAGCGATGCTCAGGACGTGATTCTATAAAGATGAGGTCCAGCTTCGGGGCCGATGGCGCCCATCAATCCTGTGTCGTTTGGGTCGGGCCGTGCAGTGAGTGGCAGGCGCTGAGCAGCTGTCCGTCGCACCGCTGACCCCCGCAAACAGCTTCTCTGCCCTCCAGCGCTGGCGGGGGAGCAAATGAAAACACAGCAGCAGTGATTTAGCAGTTTTCACTTTCACTTTAAAAAAAAAAAATTTTTTAGGCTTCCAGTCCTGAAGGCACTGCAGTGTAGAGGGAGGGAGAAGAGGGGAACAGCGGCCTGTGGTTTGCAACTGCACACTTTGGCGATTGCTTGCGGTTTTGTATGAACGTAATGCTTTGTGCTGCATTATTATTGACTCGCTCTGAAAGCCAACAACTGAACTTGCAGCGCTGTGTCTTTTTTTATTTTTATAAAGGGATCGTTTGGGTTGGATTCAACCCCACACCTGTTAAAATCTTATACAACCACATAAATGTCCAGTTCCTCCCTTGCGTTCCTGACGGGGAGCTGGAAACAGGACTGATGGAGTGGGAACCCAAATGCATTTGTTGATGTTTTTTTTGTTTTTTTGGAGGCTGAAGCTGTGACGGGGTCGGGACGTCCCTCTAGTTCACTCGCAGGTCAAACTGGACATAGTTCGCTTTTGACGCGCTGCTGGAATAAATAGCAGGAAGGAAGCTACGGGTGATGACGCCAACGCGGCAGGGAATTCATTCCCCCTCCTCCCACCCCCACCCCCACCCCCGTCACGGGGAGAAGAGTTTCCCTGGCTCAGATGCCCACCCATCTGTTATCACTCTGGTCATTAGTGGGCTTCCCTTCAGTTTCCTGTAAACATGCGGGATTAAACATGAAATAATAACAACGACCTGCCGTACAGGCTCAACTTGGTCCGCATCTGATCTCGGTATAACATGTGGCCAGTTATGGGTCATTGTCGAGTGCAGTGCGTAGGATTGGGTATTGTTGCGATTTCATCAATTATTGCTTATTTACCTGACTCATGGTTCCGTTTCTCTTTGTATATATTCAAATCTAAGGCTTACTTTATTTTGGTCTCTATCCACATCAACTGAGCAAACACTGGAGAGCAGCATGAGATGTGGTTGAAAGCTCCAGAAAAGGCTATTAAATGGCGTCTGGAGTGCAGATATAAGCATCATTTTGAGGTCCTCATCTACTTGTTGTCATTTCTCAAACAAATCAAGGTTCTTGCACACAAACCAAGTGGTTGTGTGAACATGGGGGGGGGGGGGGGGGCTTCACTTTTCCGTGCCACTACAAATAGTCTCATTGGCCGATTATCTCAAAAAGAAGTTAATTTCAGCATTTATTCATCGATCCACCCGACTGCATTCAGCCCCCACCGTCCACGAGTCTGACATGAAATGGAGGGGAGCGCTGAATGTAATGGGCCGAGGAACGCTTGGCCTGGAATAGTAATCCCAGGGAACTTGATACCAGAGGCCTCAGAGACAGATATGCAGTCACCGCGGACAGCGGGAATCTCCCCCTCTCCTCGCAGCCGACTTAACAGTCCTCGTTACCGGGGCAACCGGCTCAAGGCACTCCCTTTTGAATAATGAATGAGCTGGCGCCCCGGGCTCAGTATCCGTGTTACCGTGGCAGCAGGCTTCGGCCTCAGCTACCCCTTGCTCGCCGCCGCCGGAGCAGCAGAGACACCTAGTGGCTGACGCGCGGCGTCGGGACACGCGGCTCCTACGGGTGTCGGGTGTGTCCGTTCCTTTAAAGGGAATCCGATTTGAAGGCAGGAACGGCGGGGGGAGCTGACCTTCTCCCCCCGCCTCTGCCTCTCTTCCAACCTCCGGGCTGCCGTGGCTGCATTCAATCAACCGCTCCGACCATGTTTATGCAGAATGTGATGTTTATGCAAGGCCTGCCCACGCGCTCGCCCCCCACGCACATGCACCACGACCCGCTGCCCCGTCTGAGTGGTGTGTGTGTGTGTGTGTGTGATTGTGCACGTGTGTCACGGTGTTTTGCCGCTATTGATAATACCAGAACAATAATTACACGGTACATGATGTTCCCTTACAGGAGATTTTTGTGTATGTGTGTGTGTGTTCGTCTGTGCAGCCTGGGATAAGGAGGCGACTGCAGTGGAATGTAATGCTTTGATTGCACAGTTACTGCACTATATGCATTACCATGACTCATTGATTACACACAGACACACACACGCTGGGGCCAACTCCAGGCCAGCGGGATGCTTTCTGACCCCTTTTGTGTTACGGCCGAGGTGATCGCTGCTCGGGATGCCGGTTTTGATGAGCTATTCTCGACCGAGGCAGGAAAGTCCCCCGTGGTGACCCAGCCGCGGTGTCCGCTTTCCACCCAACCCGGGGCACCCGACTGGCCCCCGCGTACGCATGACAGGCCAGGGCTTCTATATACAGCACAGATATGAATGTATATATGGAGGGTTGCCCTCGTGCTTTCCTCGGTACCCTCGTTCACACCGTGCCTTAATCACGGGTGAGGTCACACGGGGCCTTCTGTGGTCTGTGTGGCTTCAATGTCCGCGAGGCCTAGAGACCACGTGTTTATGATACGGCACGCTCTAAATATACACTGAACCAGAGAAATACCCAACATGCAACCTGTACCATTTAAAGTCGGCAGGCGGACTGCTTGATTTCGCTTTTGCTGCGTCATTGTGCGAACCCCTTCTGATTTTGAGAGGAGTGTACAAAGGAACCGTCTCATGATGGTAAAAAGCGAGTAGATAGGAGTAAGCGATTGCATCTCATGGTCCCATGTCCGTGTCAGATGGACTGAAAAATGATCATACGGTGTCCGTGACTATTATCCTTGCTGTGTCCGGCTCATCTCTCCTCCTCCTCCTCCTCCTCCTCCTGAGGGATTGCTGGTTCTCTGTTAACTAATGAAAAGTGCTCAGCCCACAGATCCTAAATGCTGAGCCGGATGTTTCTGTGACATTATTCACTTATCCAATCCTGAGAATGACAGACACGCTTTCCCAACTGGGGGCGGTAATCAATACACAGAGGAAATGTTGCAAAGCGGGAAAAACGGGGATTGATCCCCTTCCCCCCTCATCGACCCCATCAAACAATAGCTACCTTCATTTGATGCCTGAGCAGTTTCAGAGCCTCAATTTACACACTTATTCAGATATATTTGTTCTTCTGTTTAGAGTGTGAGATTGGTAAACGTTTTAATATTAGGACAACACTGTATATTGTATTTTTCTACCTGATCTTTTTATTCGAGGCTCCCAAAGGTTGACTGACAGCATCTGACAAAATGTTGAGTTGCCTCCAGGTGTTGTTGGCGGCGTTTTGGACACATTGCACTAATCTCGATGGTTTTTTAGCCAAAAAGAGCTCTTTGGTGTTGGTTTTCTGTATTCAGTCTGCACAGAACACCTGCAGCTACTGACTCATTAGCCAGGATTGGGAAAGAACAAAAACAGCCAAAAGTATTCGGAAAGTAAAGTATTAATGTGATTTATTTAGTAAATGATTAAAGAAAAAAGGGCAGTGATTTCCCCCCTTTTTGTCAATTTTTGTTTGTAGACATTTTTTGGTTCTTCTTTTGATTTTTTCCAATGTTACATCTGAAACAATCCATCTGATTTTATTGTGCATCCTCTTAGCTCCTCAGACGGCGGTATTTTCCATCCAACCATCTTCTCTCTCAGAGCACTTTGCGGGTAACCCTCTCCTGTCTTAATGACACTTTTACGGTCCGACGGAGGGATCTGTACCTTGATATGTGTTTCTAAGTGGCGGGTGGGAACAGGGTGGCGGCTGGTAACGGACACGGACGCTAATCGCATCTGAAGCTTTCTCTTGGTCTGTTGAAGCATGGACTGCAATATGGATTTCAGACGTGTGCTGTGTGAGCCCATGAAAGACCGAAAAGGGAGATGGCACAAGCTTCGACGTGTATACTGGCATATCGGCCCCTTGTGCACGTGTGTTAACGAGCACCTTTCCCCGCCTTCTCTCACCCTCAGCGGCAGTGCTGAAGTACGAGAACAACGTAATGAACATCCGACAGTTCAACTGCTCACCTCACCCTTACTGGCTGCCCAACTTCATGGACGTTTTCACCTGGTCCCTGCCCTTCGTCGGGGAGAAGGGTGAGCATGCGCACACACACACACACACACACACACGTGCACGCGTACATTGTTAGCATGTTTCCGATGTAGTCAAATGAGAACATTGATTACAAGTCGCTTTCTACCCGATTGCACCATGGAGTCGTAATGCTCATTAAGTTTCCTGAGTCGGTCATTGAAAATGTCTCGGCCTCAGGCAATGTGGCGCGGACATTTCATTCATGTTCAAGATCACATGATTTAACAACCAGATATCCTGCAGATCGGCAATAAGTGCAAGTCAGTGAAAGTAAAAAAAAAAAACAATGGTATAATGCCGAGCAGATTTTTGCCTTCCTCGCAGGGGGAGGGTTGAATCTGTCACCTGACCAGGCGTAAATCACGCTCCGATTTGCCGATTGTCGATGTGGGAATAAATAGGGGTCACGTCTGTAAAATATCAGTTTTTTCTCATTTCTTAACAGTGACTGAGATGCTCGTGAACGTCCTGAGCATCTGCTCCAACGACGAGCTGACGACTGACGAGGAGCTGGACGGTAAGCCCACCAGCGTTCCCCCTCCAGTTCGCCTTGGCTCCACTAGAGGGGCTCCTCTGCTCAAAGGGGCGCCTGACCGAGACGGGAGGATTTTTTTCTTTCTTTTACCCGATCGCTTTGTGTCCGAAGTCTTCTCTGGTTCAAACCGCACACTTGGTCATACGATAATGATACTTCTTGTAGTCCTCTAATGGAGGCAGGTTTCATAAATGTGTTTGGTCACTGTTTATCTGCAGCGAGATGACCTGCTTCCCTCTGCCAGCCCCACCCGTTACTCCCAGACAGGAAATGATCTCACCAGTTCTTCCACCCCCCTCCCTCTCTCTCTCCCCCTCTCTCTTGTTCTTTACTGATGCACACAGTATTACTCTGTAAACAGCACCCATGGGTGTCGCACAGTAAAAACACCGCTGCTACCTGTTCATGAATAATCGGGTAATTCCAATATGTAGCGTTTGGAATTGTTAGGAAGCTGGAATTGATGGTCCTACTCACGCGGCAGCGTGTGGCTGCCGCCGCCAGAAAGATAAAGACGAAGCGTTTTCTTCGGTGTGATTAAGACATTAAATTTCACAATGAGATCATACAGATCCTTTTTGTTTTCTTCTTCTGGCGCGGCAGCGGTACGCTCCCGTGGATCGGGATGGCGGCATGACTCGCACTAAACGGCCCTTCTGATAATTAGGCGCCCTTGAACGTCTAATTGTCGCCAACTCATTCAATTCCCACTTCATTCGAGCCACTTTATTTTTGCGTTTCCCCGCTTTTGCCTTTTTGTTTAGTCTCAAGCTCATTTCTCTCTCAGGTCTCCCGTGTATGTTTTCACAACGTCGTCGTCTTCCTTTCCTTTTGTCTATTTCTCTCATGACCATGGTCTCTGTGCCGGTATAATCCTTGTATTGCACTGCTCTTTATCTACCTTTTGTTTTCCACGGTTTCCAATTACCATTATGTTGATATTTCAAACCCTACTACCCTATCACACGTTTCTGTTGCATTCTCCTACTTTCTCTCTTTCATGCTGTGATGATGTCACTACCTTGGTTTATTTCATCTAATCTCTCTTTTCTATGTTTTCCAGAGTTTTTATGTTCAAGGCATCGCTTTACCTCACACTTTGTGCTTTCTTGCCTCTTTATTTCGCCGTCTGCGCCATCTCCACCACCTCATCTTTCATTCTGCGATCCGCTGATCTCTTTGTCCTTTCTATTGTCTTCTCTTCTGGGGGTGTTTCATGAGAAGGACAGCTAATTTATCCCCCCAAAAAAGGTACAACCCTTAGCCGTAGTGATGTGTGCAGAGGTAGATAGACGGCCTTTTGTTCAGTGCTTGCTCTCTGCTCTTTTTAGAAGTCTGTCAACTAACAGCGATGTTTAAACTGCAATGTTCTAACGCTGCTGCTGAGTCTTTCTAGTGGTCTCGCTTGAATTCTTTACCACCACAAAGACCCTCAGTGATGTTCCACTTGTATGCTCTCTCACACATGATCAAAGGAAACAGACTTATGGGAAGATTACATTCGCATTCGCTTAAGTAAGCACACATTGAAATAAGCAGTGTTATTAAAGGGGATCCATCCTGTGGAGAAACCCATTTCAAAGTAATATTGGTACGTATATCAAGACCCAGAGTCTTAAACTAGACATCAGGCGGCCGGCTCTTTCCTTTACTCGGCCTTTCACCACACATCAGCTTCATTTCCATCCTTCATACTTTGTGCATTTTCCAAGCTGGCTCCCGGGGGCTTTGCAACTGTTATTGTGCACAGGGAAAAAAAAAAAGGTCTCCTTCAATAAAGTTTTGTTTTCCAGTCCAGGAAAATCTGCGGTTGAGCCTCCGCAACCGAATCACAACACAGGAAAATTCATGTAGAGTGTGCTCATTGAACATGGCAATATGACACGTTTGGACAAGGACCAGGCCATTTACGGATGATTTAAGGTTTAGTGGTGCCAAGTAATACCTGTCAAAAACTGGTGTGTAGAAGTTAAAGGGACACTAATGGCACAATACAGACGTGCAGCATGAGCGCACGGAATTGCTGGCAATTATTCTGCTGTTGTGATGTGTGGGTGGAGTGGAACTATTTCATATGAGCTGCACTTCAGTAACCTCGCTGTGGCTGCATCGTGTCCGACGGATGCACTTCCAGATCAAATGAACTGTCCAAAACGCTACGGGACAATGAAGTCTGTGTTTCACTTCCCCAGGACATTGTATATCACGCCTGAGTGACAGCTTGGATGACTTGTATGACTGTGTCTGACCTTTGCCCCCCTCCCCCCCTCCACCTCCTCCCAGGTGCCACAGCTTCAGCTCGCAAGGAGGTCATCCGCAACAAGATCCGTGCCATTGGCAAGATGGCCCGGGTGTTTTCTGTGCTCAGGTATGCAAGGGTGGAAAAAATGATCTCGTGTCCCCGTTTGTTGGACCATTGTAGTCGCAATTTCCCTCAGCTCGACGGATGTTTTCTCAGCTCATTGTTTTGGATTTCCAGCCGAAAATGCACTAAATAGTTTCAGTCTCCGTGCTTTCAGGTTCCTTTTAAACCCCCTTCACACAGCCCGCCCGGCACCCAACAGCAAACTGACGAAGTGAGCAAATGGCTGGTGAACGTAGGGGAGCTTTTAGCGGGTTAGAGAGACGTATTTGGAGTTGGTGGAGACCAAAGGAATGCAAAAAGTTTAGTAAATAGGCCTTTTAGTGGCTGGCGGCATGACTTCAAATGAATATTAATGTTGCAACATCTCTGCCGGATGTGTTTAAATAACAACAAAGGCAAATTTGCTAAAACCTTAATCGACTTGATGTTGTGGTTTCAGCTTGTTCCACGGCCCCCGTGTTCAAAATAATGTTTTTTTAATTGTTCTATTCATTCGATATTACAGTGGCACACGAACAAATTACATTTGCAATACAAATATCCTCCAGGAAGCAACGCGTGCTGTGTTAAATAATTTTCCCATTTCTGTGTTGGCGTTTCAGAGAGGAGAGCGAGAGCGTGCTGACGCTGAAGGGACTGACCCCGACAGGCATGCTACCCAGCGGGGTGTTGTCCGGTGGCAAAGAAAAGCTGCAGAATGGTAAGACTGTCACCAAGTGCCCCGAGACCCGCAGCGTTGGCCCCCACAACGGATTCTCCCTCTCTCTCTCTCTCTCTCTCTCACACACGCACACAAATTCCCCTTACGCAGCAGTACCCTGAATAAAGAGCTAGCTCAGTGTTTAGGGGATACTGTGTGTATAAACTCCTCCCGCTTCACCCTGACTGATGGTCCAGGAATTTGAAATTGCTGCCTCGATGTAACGCTGTAGAAGTTGAATGTTTCTGGCAGCTTCTCTCACTTCTTATCCTTTCTATACTGCATAATTGAGTTGCTCTATGTAGCTTTCTTTCCACTTGAATGTAGTTCCATGAAGTATTTGTTTTCCCCCCCTGGATAGACTACTATAGGATATCAAGTTTTACTTACTCGATAGTCTCCCCCTCCCAAACAATGTCCGTACGTGCAGATTTTGTCCCTTTTGTGTTCTCTAGTGTGTCTCCCCCCTGATTAATACTGTGTCTCCCCGTCTCTTTCTCTATTCCACTGGTTTTATCTCAAATATTACCTGTATTTTTTTCTTTCTCCTTTCTTTCTAGAAACCGCAGGTATAATCTGTTGTGCAAGTATTCTGTTGTGTTGTTTTTTCTTTTGTGAGACAAGTTTAGCGTTCAGTCCACCCTCTTATGTTTAATTCCAAACACTCCCTAAACGAGTTGGCCGTGTGGCTGCGGCGAGGAAGTAAAGGCCTTCCGGAAACGCCTTTTACAAACACTTCAAATTGACTTTCCTCTATTGCCCAAATTGGCGCGTTAGTGGTGGATCTCGGCAGAGCTCCGTGGGGAGACAGACGCGGGATGAATTGGAATTGACACAAGCGACTGTGAACGAAAGGGGGATCAGCGCCGTCTGCCTTTCCTTTACAAAATGAAGCAGAGATCCAGACGACTTCCCTCTCCTCTCACAGGTTCTCACGCGTCAGCTGGCTCCTTCCTAAACGCGGGCAATGCTACGCCACAAATATCACCTATAGCGGTTGTTTATGTGTAGAAAGCGAGATCTCCGACATCTCCTCTTCATTTTAAACATAACATTTGCCAAACAACAGATGGAAACGGGTTGTGATCACAATGGTAAAATCCATAATGAGAATTTATGCAGTGTTTTTTAAAGTCAAAAACAAGTCATGTTAAGTTCGCCATCATCAGCCACTAACACAGCAGGAAAAACGTATTAACTTCTTAATGGGAACGGAAATGTAGTTTTATCACTAACAGAACATGTGTTTATTTTTAATTATAAATTTCACAGGTCTGCTTAAGCGTTAACATTTTGAAAGATGCACGAAGCAGATACAATGATGGGGAGTTCTTGGCTGCAAACAGCAGAATAATATCTCGTTGTTTCCCACAAATCACGTAAAAGAAAACTTCGCCCCAAAGCTAGATTTTGCTTCAAAGTGACCAAATTGGAACGAAATAGCACGGAACAGAGTTGGCGATTCTGCGTATGTCATTTAGGGAGGCTGGGAGGCTTCTCTCCGCGTGATGTAGATTCAAATAATAAGTCTTCAACCTCAAACAAACTGTTTTCAGAGGACTTAAAACCACTACACACCCGTGCATCCCTCGAATCGTGTTCCTGCTGATGTCCTTTAAGACAACGGCGGCCCTGAGGATTCACGCGTTTACGTTTTTAAGAATAGTTGTATTCCAGCCCGTCGTTGAGCAGCTGACACCACAGAGAACCCCGGTGAAGGCAGAGCGATGTTCAGAGATTCCTGTTGCAACATCGGTAGAATCACATTGCTCCGCTGCCCCCTCAGCCAGTGTGCTTCTACTGTGATGTTGACTCCATCCGCCATTCTGTTCACACTTTGTGGCTCTCGTGCCTTCTTGTAATCCCCCCCCCCCCATGGTAGTGTGTCCTGTAGGCTTCAGTACTGTATAGCCGTTACCTCACCGTCACCGCCGGCCTCATCCCTGTCTTTTGTGTAAAGCCGACTCACGGCAGTGTACTGTGTGTAGCTATTATCTCCACGACGACTGTGAGGAATTTGGTAAGTGGGTGAAAACCCCAAAAAGGGTGTTTTTACTTCCTCTCTTTACCCAAAGGCCCCCCCCACCCCCCCCCCCCGCGAGCCGCACCTCACAAAAGTAAGCCGGCATTTTTGATATTTCCTATCAAAAGATGCTCACCAGTTCCAGATGCTGCTTCGCGTCGCACGCGACACGGCGGTGACGCCGCTCGCCGCGTCGGCGGCGCTGCGACTGCACATTAACAACCGCGGCCACGAAACCCACAATCACACCGGCACCTAAACTGTACTCTTGTTTCCCATTCGTCCTATTTTCCACACTCCTTTCTCCATGTATGGCGTCATGGCAAAGAACTAATCTATTTTCCAGCTTCCACCTGTTGTATTTGCTATGGATGTGCGTCCCTGCCGTCACCTCATCGAGTCACTGTCACACCTCAAAGACACAATCCTCTCCAATGGCTCACATGTGTCACCATCCCTCTTACAGATCTGGAACTCATCTTAAAGCTAATCCCCCCCCACACACACTCGTCTCCTCTCCGCTAACATCCATGTGTCCTGTGTCATAAAACTGTGGCGGCGGCGTTAACCGTCTGTTGTGGTCATTGATTGGCTGTCTTTGCTGCTCATTGACTTGTGCCGAAAGGACAAAATGAACTCTGCTCACTTCTCTCATTCGTTTTGCAACCCCCCTCTTCTTCTCTTCAGCTACTATTGAAGCTATTGAGGCTGACGAAGGTAAATGGGTCCGGCCGCCCTCTTCTGTTGCTTTTGTCGTGGCAATAGACGGGGGGCTCCGCTGGGTTTTCATTCATCTCGCTGGTGCTTGAATCGAGTGTGTTGGGTGTTTGGGCTGAACGAAACGTGGCACAGTGTTCGCAGGGAACCGGTGATTAGGAAGTTTCTGTGGTCACGCGATGTTTCAAAGCGGAACGGGTTTTCATGGCACAGGTTCGTCGCACCAATCTTGAGTGAGTGCAAAGCAAGTTCTTTTCAATTCTTACACAAAATTCTGTTCGGTTATTTGTAGTAAACAAAAACAGTACTTTTGAATTCCCAATTCTAAATCTTTCCCAGGAAAGTGCTTATCATTACACCAGTACTTTCCATTTAAAAGCTCATGTATATTTCATAGAAGATTATCAGACCATCCAGGTAGAGGATAAAGGGTTGCTTTTATTCGAGGTCATGCACATTCACACACTCACTATGCGGGAGGTGTAAACAAACGGGCGTCCTCGGGTCATCCGGCTTTTACTAGACGCCGGAGCCACCGGCTGGCCAGCACAAGCACGCAGTCACCAACGCACCGATCACTCAAACACTGCTCGCTCGATCTTTTCTCAGCATTTTAGTTTTCTTATCCGAAGCCGATGGCGTTTTGGAGACCCTTAAACAAGAAAGCAATTGGTTTGCACTCGCACAACTGGGGTAAGCCTGGCTATGAAAGCTCATGATGGCAGTTCCCCTTTGAAGCACCTGAAGCAGTTGTGCACTGTTGTTGCTGATGCATTCGTATAGAAATACCTCAGTGGAGCTGAATCTGATTTTAATAGAGTTAAAATGCTCTTTGGAATCCGAAATTGGACTCCTCCCTAAAAACCATACATTTCACTGACACCGCCTCTGGCGCAAGAACAACCTCAACTGCGGGCTAAATAGCGGTTTGCCAGCCGCTATTTACGTTGGAGTTGTCCAGCACTTCAGCCCCGTGGCGGACAGTCCATTGTAGTGTCGAGACCCGTTCTCCGCTTCTCTCTCCGTGTGGATCCTCTGTGGCCCTGTTGTGTCGTCGTGTTTATTATTCTTTTCTCTCCCTGTGAGCTGCTAATAACCTGTGTCTGACCTGCGCTCCGCAGCAACACAACTACACTACCCATCATGCCCCGCTCCACGAATTGTCGTAAAATTTTAAGCCCCCCCCCCCTACCCAACACACTTCTAATTCTAGTAATGGTTTTTTGTAATTATACCTGCCCCCCCCCAAGCCTTTATGAGAGTTGGAAGTAACACAATCAACCTTTTTGGGCGTTAAAATGTCCTGAAAAGAAACGTGATCAAGCTGAATAGTGGAGCAATAAGGCAATACTTACAATCCCTTTTGAATTGAATAAAACAATTCTAACAGTTATTTGTTCCATTGTTTCAGCTCAATTGAATCTTGTTTTTATTGAACCCCCCCCCTCCCCCTATATCAGGGGTGGCCCCGATAACCTCCAGCGAACCCTTAAATTGCTGCACGCTCCAAGCAGACATAAGGAGTCGCTAGCAGCCGAGTACCCGTGTAGTGTCTTTCGTACGTGAGCTCAGTCTCGACGCGGATCTATTCTGTGGAAGTGATCGTCTCCGTGGGCTCCACTAGAGTGTGTCTAGTTTTATTTTCCTTCCCTCGTTTGTTCCTTTTTTTCCCTCTCTGTTGGATCATTCTCCTTCTTCCCTTTTTGTTGTTTTCAATCTGTGACGTGACGTGACGTGACGGGGCAATCTGGATGTGAGGGGTCCTCAGGTGTTCTCAAATGTGCCCAAGTTGAGATTTCATTTTGCACACAATGTTTAAGATTGACTGAGTGGCAGTTGAAGAGGGTCATTAGATGGTCCGCTGCTGTCGGAGATTATAGCGTGGATTGACGGCACGGTGAAAACCTGTCGACCCTGATCCCAGAAGGGCCCCCTATAGATTTAGAAGGATTGTTCGATCCTTTTGTCCGTGCAGTTATACCATTTTTAAACTCGATGTGTTATCATTTCATAGAAATGTTTTGTACCTTTTTATAGTGATTGTTCTTCTGTTATTAAGCTACAAACACTATATATGATGCATACGTAAATATGCTGGACAATAAATGCTGTGGTTCATAAACAACATAATTTACCAGCTACACCAGCGGCTGGAGCTTCACCTCATATGAAAAGTGCACAGTTGTGTTGCGTCACACACACATAGTTTAACATAGGAGTTGGTGTATCTGTAGGAAAAATGTGCTTATTCACTTCTTTACAAACCGCTCAGTGAGAATTAACCCCATTCATATCCCTGCGTTCAATATAGTGCCGCAGCATAGTGACTTTTTATCGCATCAAGCCATAATTTAATCATTATTGCTATCAACTAGTTTCACGTGTTAACACAAGCGCTTTAAAGAAAGGCCCCCGGCGTTGCCTTCAGGCCGAGCCTTCTTAGCGGAGCTCTTTAGCAGAAAGTAAAGTTTCCTGAATGACTTTCCCTCTAAAGGGTCGACAAGTGTTAACAAGCCCCCCAGTTACGCATTTCTCATCCTCTGATGCATTTTTATGTTCCCATGACCCAAGACCAAAGATAAGCCACACCTGTTGATGTGTGAGTGAATGAGTGAATGTGAGCAAGTGAGACCCCCCCATTCTCCAAATCATTGAATCCCTCTCCTCGAAAAATCGCTTCTGATCTCAACACCCCCTCCCCCCCCGTTTTGCTTCTCTCTGCGTCCCGACAGCCATCAAAGGTTTCTCGCCCCAGCACAAGATCACCAGCTTCGCGGAGGCGAAGGGGCTGGACCGCATCAACGAGAGGATGCCGCCGCGGCGGGACGCTTTGCCCTCCGACGCCAGCCTCAACTCCCTCAACAAGGCCCTGTCCTCGGAGACCAACGGCACGGAGGCCAAAGGGAGCACCAGCAGCGGGGGCAGCATCCAGTGAGGGCGCCACCTCGGCCCACGGGTGATGGTGTGGAAAGAGGGAGGGATGGGGGAAGGGAGAGGGGGGTTGATCTGTGGAAGGGGGGAGTTGTCTTTGGCTCAAACCGGGGAGGGGGAGGGGGGGGGACATCTCACTTTCTAGTCTTTGGATATGCCTTCAAAATATTAGTTCATAGTCAAATCTGCTAAGTTATTGCCGAAGTCCATTTGTGAGCTTGATGCTCCGACGCGCCGCAGTATGTCGGAGGGGGGGAGGGGGCGGGAGGGGTGAGAGAGATCTTAAAGGTGATTTTTGTTTCATTTTATTTCTTGAAAGACCCTTGCTCACTTACACCGAAATGGAAAGTTGTGTAACTTCTTACTAACTATTGTACGTTTACAAAAATACAGCACTAAAAAGGACGGAACATGCGATAATGTTTTTAACAGAAGAGGGTGTACAAACTAATTAAGGACTATTTATTGATAACTTTTTTTTTTGCTACTCTTTTAAAATAGCTCTGAAATTAATTAGGCAGTCTTAAGAAGAATGTTGCAATGTTGTCGAAATGCCAAATAATGGAACGTTTTATGGTTTTGTACATATTATGCTTACCTCAGGTTCTTTTGGTGTGTGCTCTGACCTGATTTTTCTGTATAATCGCTAAATAACTCTAATGAATACCTATTTTCTTGAGTTTCATAACTGGAATTTACATTTACCTATCTATCATTTGCAAATATGTTTATTTTATGTCTCTTTCAGAAAGGGTTGTGGGTTAGATTTATTGTGGCTTGCTGGAATTGAGTGTTCATTTTTTTCTCTTTTTAAGTATTGCGAACAAAGTAAAAATAGAGAACCTATATTGTGTAAAAAAAAAGAATACAATAAACTTAAAGTGTCTGCCTATGCATGTTTTATAAAAATCAAACGGATGAAATAGAAAATCAGAATACCTTGGCTATGGAGGCCTGTTTTGAAATATACCGCGCTTTAGTGAACATATACTGGAAACGTATACCTGCATACTTTCAATTAACACCATGATGCTCTATGCCTTCAACTTTGTTTTTTTAATTGAAGCATTTAATTATCTAAGATGGATGAGAAATCATATTTTTAACCTGCGCTTTTAAGTGCACACAGTCCAATTAAGCATGTTTGGCAATTCTTGTGAGGTGTGTGGTTACATGTGTAACTGAAAAATGCATGATTAGCTGTTTGTGTCATATAACAGGTAAATCGGTTTTGTTCTGTTTTGTAAATGTGCCACAGAAAGTGTAATTTGATTATTATCATTACTATTATTATTATTATTATTATTTGAAACTGCTTTGTATATCAGTTACAGGTTTGATACTGCTCAATACTTTAAGATGAAACAAATAAAAATAACTTTGATCTTTTTTAAGAACTGCTTAAGTGCCCAAGTAATTCACTACACGACATGAAGCCTTGCTTTTGTAATTTAACTTCAAAACTGTTGGCAGATGAGGCATGCACTTGCAACTATGGAAAGTATTTTATATAACTGTTCAATAAAAATGTGCATGAATTTCAACTTGAAAAGAACTTGCTTCTCGTGTGTGTGTGTGTGTGTGTGTGTGTGTGTGTGTGTGTGTGTGTGTGTGTGTGTGTGTGTGTGTGTGTGTGTGTGTGTGTGTGTGTGTGTGTGTGTGTGTGTGTGTGTGTGTGTGTGTGACAAAGAGTGAGAGAGACTCAGGCTGTTAGTTCTCCGCCAATAAATATGCAACCATGCAAAATAAAATAACTTTAAAAAGAATTAAGACACACAGTCATACAGACGTTTTTTTGAATCTCAATTGAGATCGCAAATCAAGGTTACTGGAGAAAACGGTCCCATTACTCCAGAACACACAAGTTGCTCAGGCTTTATTCCACTTGAAGATATACTTTTAAAATATAATTCATAAAATAGTCTTGAGCTTTGCTCTGCTGGTTCCAATTCCTCCAGATTTTGGCATTCTCTCCTCAAACTCAGTTGCTTCTTTGATTAAACTGCGAAAGTAAAGCCAAGATTACTCAAGCGTACCTGTGAGATCACAGGGGACAGAGATTCCTCCATCATACAAAGATAAAACGTGGCACGATGTAAATGTTACTGGCTTTACCCAAGTCAGTTTTTTATTTCAGTGCAGGTTATTCTCACAGAAATGGTATATTAAAATTTAAACCTCCAATCTTCAGGCAAAATAGTTAAAGATCGATCAAGTTGTCAGAAAAACGCTGTTGTACTCAAACATACACTCTATAGACATTTTAGCTATTTTTGTATTTTTGTCCTCGGTTTTTCTCTTTGGTCTCTTCAGCTGAAATCAAACACAATGCTCGAATGAAAGGAAGTAAACTCTGGCATCCTGTTATTTTTTTTGGAGGGCCAAGACGCAGCAGCTAGATTTTGAAACCTTGGGAACGCCATCAAGACACGGAAGTTGTCCATCGTTGGAATGTTCATTTTTCCCCACAAAAATATCTGTATCTAAGAACAATCATCTCACTATTAGAATCTCGATTTCGCTCAAGGTCGGTGCCACGGTCGTCACGGTGACCCATCTGAGGTCATCTCCGTGCCGTTACGTAATCAATGAAGAACAGTAAATACGTATTTGACTTATTTCTGGAAAACAAACCATCCCTTCATGATAGTTTTATTTATCTGTGTTGTTGATGCCAGCCTACGGCAGTTAGTGTGAATCTGAAACGCGTGTGTACACCTTGTCCCAAAGTACTTTGTTTTTCTTCTCAATCACGCACAGTTCTTGGATTCCATGTTGTTTATCTCGGTCGACATCCAATACCTGAGGGATCGCTAATGGCCCACTGGTCAAGTGAGTGTCATGGCAGGAAAAAACACCAGCGATGGGAGTGACCGATGTGGTCAAACTGAAACTCTACTGCTACATGGGCGTAGGTCTGCGCCCGCCCACTGCCTCGCTCTGGTCCCCACAGCCACCCACTATTACGTCAGGCAGGGAAGCCAGTCTATTTCCTCCCCCTTCTTTATCTAAAGGAAGTGCCAAAATAAGCACCGGCGGCGGAGCGGCCGAGCACCTTTCCCACTGGCCACTGAGTCGCCGTCTGAGGAAGAAGTCGCAGGAGCTTAACGCCCGCAGAATCAACATGAAGCCCTCCGGTGTTCTCGTGCTCTCCCTGCTCGCATCCCTCCATGTCTTCACACCAGGTAGGACATCCAATCAAGCCTTGCAGAGGTGCCCTCCAATCTCCCAGAACCGGGGGTTGGGGGGGGGGGCCTCAAATAATATTCCGCTGTCTTGAACTAAGAAGAGGTTTGTTTTCGGCCTGGTTTCTGTGCTTTGTCAGTGTGGGGGCTGCTGAGGAAAGTTGCCTTCTTTAATGACGTGCGAAAACAAATGTCAATTTGCGTTGTAAAATTTCCAAACTCAGGCTTTTCCTTTGTAGTTGATTGCCCCCCCATTGTGAGAAATAAAGGACATGTATTTTGTTGTTGCTCTGATGGATAATGTTAGTGTTTTATCCTGATGCAATTCTGTCTGGGTACGTGCAAAGATAAAGATCACAGTGGTCCAAACCGCCTCACACTTTGAACGGTGCCTCAGAGACCATCTCAGAGTGTACTTCCGTTAATTGAGGCAGAGATAAGCCCTGTGTGTGTGTGTGTGTGTGTGTGTGTGTGTGTGTGTGTGTGTGTGTGTGTGTGTGTGCGTGTATGCGTGCCTTCTAATTGTTCTTTCTACAAACAAAAAACAGAAAAAGTGGTTTATTATTTGGCACATTCAGTCAAAGTGACGGTAAAATAAAAGACAAGCACAAATCAAACCCATGGGAACAAAAAACTAGTGTGTTTTGGTTGAAGGAAAGAGAAGAACAAAAAAGGGTGGCTCTCTATTTGTTTTCTATCCTTATGTGGAGCCCTAAAGGACGTTTGTGGGCCCTGCGGCGTGCAGATAGGTGATCTCACAGCAGATAGCCAGTGGGAACCCGAGCGCCCCCCGCCCCCCTCTCGCAACAGATCTTTGTCCTGAGACCAAAACGTCCCAACTGGCAACACAATCTGCTTCCAGCGATTAGCAGTAAACATCTGGAGGAAACACCCTCCACCTGGCGACTGCTCGCATGGCAGAGGACTGACTCCACTACACACAAAGATAATTCATTAACACATTTTAAGGAATTGTGAAATTTCAACACTGACTTGAAATTGACCTGCCGATAAAAACACTTTTTTTGTGGACAGGAGACGTTACTTCTTATTTACTACTTAATTCACAGAAATAACGTAAGGCTTAATTTAACACATGTAGACTGGTTGACCTGTACTGTACTATGTACTATCAAATGAGCTAAGGGACCTTTTACTGAGTTGAGATTTGGTTTTAGGCGTCACTATTAAATTCCTTAAAGGGCTTGAATTGTGACCAAAATACTTTAAAACTTGTCCGCAATGACTTAGGACTCCACATCTCAAAATTTAGACTTTATTTAACACACAATCTAAGAGAGGCCAACTCAACGTTTGATGTTCTTTTTTTTCCAAATGGAGAAGTCCTTAAAATCTGACTTAAGACCTGTTGTGAAATACGTGGAATCAGCCTTGATTTCGGCAACTCAAAAGAACTTTAAATTCCCTCGGACATGTTTAAGATTTAAGGACTTCCGACTTGACTTGAAACCTGCTCAAAAATACTTGAGACTTCTCTGGACTTCCCCACCAAGTCTGAGAAAAGCGCTCTGGCGAGAAGAGCTGCTTTCCACGATCGGACCCATGAAGCCAGACGCGGCAGCGTGCCGTCGGTCGGGTGAAAAACATGATCATTGGGATCTTAACGGGACGCGATGAAGACAGGATGCTCTTGGCTGCTTAGGTCAGAGGGACAACAGCAGTGAGCCTGTGACAGGATGCAGCTTCACACTGCTGGAGCGCTTCGAGGAAATCCACCTCATCACGCCGCCTCCACCGCCACTATATCTTGACTTCTCATCCCAGGCCTGACACTTTGAGCGGGGGCGAGGGGGGGCACGCCTTTATCTTGGAAGTTGGGCTTTTAAGCCATGCCAAACAGGAACGATAGAAATATGCAACTGTGAACTTAAAATAGAGGGTTTGTCTGGGAAAATATTTGACACCGACAAACTGTGTCTGCTGTTTCTGTGACGGAGGCGTTCTGAATTCTGCAAACCAGGACGTATAGAAATGATGCAATTGTTACATGTTGGGGCTATATTTATCTGTAAAATCAATACCATTCTCACATTCAGGTGTGAGGCTGCAGACGACACAACCAACAAGCCCACCAGGAACAACCGCAAACCAAACAACACCGACGCAGAACAAGACAGCGTCCACAGCAGCGACCTCTTCATCCACCACCGCAGGACCATCAGGCAAAACATCAGCCACAACAGCAGAACCAACAACACCAACACAATCACCTCCAGCAGAAATCCAACTAGGTTCAACCACAACACAAAGAGATGCAACACCGACGCAGAACAAGTCAGCATCCACAGCAGCGCCCTCTTCATCCACCGCCACAGCCCATCATGTCACCAGCCCGATTCCTGAGAACGGTGAGACTGAAGATGGATGAACGCGATTCTCCTGGTTAAACCTCTTCGTCCGTGTTCCAGATTATAGAAAACACACACTTTCATTTGTGTTTTTCTTCTAGGAAAACCTGAGCAGAAAACCCATCAACCTGGGAGGACCACGACTTCCTCCGCAGCATCTTCAGGCGGCACGAACGGCACCAGCACAGCTGAAAACAAGACAGACAATCAAAGTTAGACTTTCTTTGAATCTATTGGTTTGGGGAATATACACAGTATTTACCTCAAAGAGATACTGCCAACTAGAAAGAGACAACAAATAAATATAAAAGACTAAAATAAAACCAAAACCACCACATGAAGATACTAAACCACTTTAGGTGAAAGGCGACAGAACGATCGACTCAGATTGAAGTTGGCCTCGTGGTGGTGCTTTCATCTGTTGGATATAACAATTGGGACTCAAATCAAAGAGATAGAATAACCAAACTTCACATAAGTCACATCAAGTGTTTCAAAATAAATAATAAATGAATTGGATTTGCTGTATTTACATGAGATACTGTATCTTTCCTTTTCTTTAGCTTTGACACCAAACACTCCTCTCGATTCTAACACAGAGAAACCCAGAGAAACTGCACCTGCAGGTAAGAAGAGATTTTGGTGCAAGTACATCACGAGTAATGAGCAAGCGTGGCTTCATTCAGTATTCCAAGATTGGCTGAAAATATCTATTTAATATCTATTTATTTTTCTGCAGCTACAGCAGAGAATGGCCCAGGTACCGTATATAATTTTATACAAACACTTCTCTTTATTCTTCTTTTTTGCTTTATATTTATGTATTTATATTCATAAACAAAAATGTACGGCAATATAATATGACATGAATATTCTCTTTAGCTAATATACTGTCTATAGGGTGAATGGTGTCACTCAAACAAATTCACACTTCCATAAAAATGTACATTTAAAGTACGTCAGAACTTAAAGCCTGTACCAATTAGGTATTTTTCATGAATACGTCTGTCTCTGTGGATGGTTGTTGGATAATAAAGATCTAAATCGGTCAGATTTTCAATCCTTGTACCCTTAGAGGTCTGCTAGGCCTTATTCTAGCAAATAATTCATTAACTTAAATATCATTCCAGTACACCAAACTACTGCACCTGGTAAGAAATACTGTACGACGTAATATATATGTATCTTTTTTGTTCGCCATGAAATGATGTCTATTCATAAACCAATTCTAATCAAAAGACACTTTATTCTGAAAGGTTCCCACTCTGGCAGTGAACAAAGAGTCCAATCAGGTAACGTGCTTAACCGTGCGACGCTGTACTTAACTCGTGAGTCATGAGGCAAGCTTCATCGGACTGGACTCATGCAGATGACCCTCTGTCCCCCCCCCCCCAGACAAAAGGTGGTGGTGGATTCTGCTGCCCATCGGCCTCGTGGGAGCTGCTGCTATCATTGTCAAGTTCAAAAGCAAGAAGGTCCACGTTAACTCGGGTACGTGTAAAAGTGCGCTTTGTGTCCACGTCTACACCTCCACGCTGTCAACTCCTTAGGGCACCATTGTTTGATTTTCAAATGACAAGACGTGTCTTTTTGACATTCAATGTCTCTCCAACAGAAACCGTCGATATTGGAACTGAGAAGTGAGTTCGAACTTTGTCATTAGGGGCAGTATTTATTTATTTATGTATTCTTTTGTTGAACGTGCAAACCACCTCATCCTCCGTCCCTCCTCTCTCTCTCTCTCTCTCTCTCTCTCTGTGCAGCGCATCTTTCCAGAGCAGACCCGAAAGCGCCAAAGATGGTGTCATGCTCCTCGGGGTGAAGTCATCGGGTGGAGAAGACAATGGTGAGCCGCCTTCTTTCTATTTCCTGTTGGGGTTGCTCCCGAGTTTCTGTCCGTTTGTTCATTCCTCCATCACTTGCTGGACTTACAGTGATTCCAGGGAAGTTGCGGGCTTTTAATATCTCATTGTACTGTAACGGGCTTTTGGGGCTTTGCTGGGCAACAGAAGGTGTTTCCTGTGATTCTGCAACCCCCCCCTCCACCCACGACCCCCACCCACCCCCGAACAAGCAGCAGGGCTAGAGAGATAGGGACTTCCTAACATAAACACTGATTATTTTGGACAGGAGCTATTGTGCGCACAGTAAATGTCAGTGCGGCCCGCGGCTGACAGGACGTGTGCGTGTTTGTTGGTTGGGGAGGGGTGAGCACATCCACAGGGTCCCATGTGAAACTCCCACACAGCCTCAGTATCCCTTCAACCGACCCATGAACAAAAATCAAGAGAACGACCCACCTTCCTTCCACCGACTAATCCGCCCCCCCGGTACTTGGTCTGCGAGCTGCAGCGGGAAACGGAGTAATGCTTTAGGAATTCTGCTAAGGAAGAGCGTGTTTATGTTGCTACGTCTTTGGAGTGCAGCTTAAGTTCTTATCTGACTGCAAAACGCACACATGAGACCTTGTAATCCGACGCCCCCCCCGCCCCCAGGTTCGTTAACAAATCTGTTTTTTAGAGAGTCAAGTGTCTTGGATTTAAGGGATCAGAGATGGAGTATAATATCAGACAGTATGTTTTAAGGCAAGTATGTACGTATGGGAGAATCATTCTCTGAGGATCCCCTCCACATCACAGCAACAATAAAACAAAAGGCTCGCTACCATGAGGACGCTGTCTTCGATGCTTAAATTGAATCGCTTTGTCTTCTTCCACCGTAACACTTTTTAAAAAGGCACATTTTCAAGTTATGGTTTGAAATGCTTTCCAAAATAAATTGTTTCAAGACCGCTGTAGTCCTAATAAATCTATATGTATCCTTGTCTAACTGCCTCCAATGAGATCAATCATTTTACAATTTATAAAAAAGGATTTTGTGAGCCCCCCCTTACATTGAGAGTCTCTACTTTAAATAACTTATTCCAGCAGGTACCACACACAGAAATGCCCCCCTCCATGACAGGCCTGAGTAATGGGACGTGATCATTTAAAGAATGTATGGGCAGTGCCTTCGGGAAAGAATGTAACACTCCCTAACCCTGCTGACCTCACGTCCTGTCATATAATCAGTGTAGCACTGCCGACTTGACAAGAGGGCTCAAATGATCTTTCCCAAACACAATTCAGGGCTCCGTTTGTTATCCTTTTTTGGAGGTTTAAAGTGTCATTTTTTGGTCACACGGATGTGGTTTTATTCTTGTGTCGCTGTGTGCGTTTCAGCTTCTGCGAGATAAAAAAAAGAAGGCCGGCAACATCCAGAACGGCCAGCGGTTGAGTCACACCTGTCGCCCACGCACCAAATGGCTCAAGGAACAGTTCAGATGTTTGATTTTGTGAATATATTGTGAAGGAGAAAAGTCTGCATGATTCTGTGTTGAACGCATTTCTGTTTTTGACTGTGATAATTGATCTCAGATTAAGTGAACTTTTAGTTTCAACTACGATATCCTCCTACATACAGTTAATCTTTGAGTTGAAAATATGAGATAAATACTTTAATAAATGAACCACTCCCTGTGGACGTGAGTGAATGAACTGCGCATCCTCGACTTCAGTGTTCTGTTGATGAAGAGAAACCTAAAAACACGTGAGGGACTATAATGCTTGATGTAATGTAATGCATCACCGTCCCTTTTCATGGTTTTGTTTGTGTTGTTTCATCATGTATGTGCCTTCAACTGTAACGGCAAGAATAGATTTGTTGGGTTTTCTTTGTGTGCCATTACAGACGGCAGTTGAACTGAGGTTCTGAGCTTCAGAGGTGTGCTGCTTTTTACTTTTCATGTGTTTCAGTGAAGTGTTTCGCATTACGTTGTTAAATATTCCACCATGCTTCTCCACTGGCAAAGTATTTTAAACCCCCACCGTTTTCCTTGTATGTCAGTGGTATAAATTCACCATCATTTTTTGTGTGTAACAATTGAAGCACAAGAAACTATTTTCAGTTGTATTTAAAGACACCGTAACTGCTTCATGGCTGGACTTTGTTGTTTTACACCTCAACATCCTCAATAAATCACTAAAACAGTTCAGCTTTGCAGATTCAGATGAAATTATTTGGGGTTATTTGATTGTTAGTTTGGTTTAATATCACCAATGTTAAATGTTTAAAGCGATTTTCAGCCACATATTTTTTTAACTCATTTAGTAGCTTTTCTTATGGCAAGTCATTGAATTCCGAATTCCTGCCATATTTTTGTTTTTTAGTTTACAAAGACATGATGTTTTCTGTTCTGCTTGTAAATGAGGTATAATGTGCTTTAACCACCTGGACTGGCGGTTCAGTAATCTGCCACTAGAGGGAGCCACTGCTCAGCGCAAAAGCAAGAAAGGAGCCGCGGTTCTGGCCCAGTTCTGTTGTTTATTACAGTCACATTTCATCGTGGGTGTTGACAGAAGAATGAGACATTGGCAACCGGTGTGAAAATCCCGCTCTTCTTGATCTTCTTAGCACAGCGCTCACACACAGCACCGCAGATACTTCACAACCAAGCTCCTTGTGTTGTGATTTTCATGGAACTAATTAAATGTCATACTAGCTTCTGAATTCACGGGGCCTTTTGTAGCTGTGCCGGCTTTATATTCGTGGCCTTTGTAAGGTGAGACCGGGCAGCGACTTCGACCGTGGCCCTCAAAAGAGACAGTGAGCAGACGGGCCGCTGTGGTACCGGCCGAGTTACGGCCAGGATGTCATGGCCGGCCGGTCACCCTCTTTAGGGCCAAGTGCATCTCTGATGTGTCTGAGAGGGAAAAATCAATGTTAGAAATGAATTCAATGGAGTGCCTTCGTTGCTGAATAATGCCATCGTGAGGTCAGTCTTATTGATTTCAGACTGTGTGCTCTCGAGAACACATTTCCACACATTCGATCTCTTGATCCGCGTTACTTGCATCACCGCAAACATTACAGATAAGAACATTAGGAGTGTTTCTGTGGATTATCCGCAGATTGTCTTGAATCCATTAGTCAACCAGCAATTTTAATTGATTTGTTTTAGTTTTTCTGATGCATTTTCCTTGTTTGATTCTTTTTGTAGCATTTGATAAATTACACAAACGTGTAAAAAGCAGAGATAACGGTTCATTAGATTCAGGTGGCCTTGGGTCTGTTTTATTGCCTCATGCTGCTCATTTGTGCCAAACCTAGCACAGCTCTCTCATCTGCCAATGACATGATGGCATGTCAAAGTCAAATAATTAACTTGAGCCGATGCCGCGTTAAAACTTTTCTATTTTCACAAACGGACTGTTGCAGGGCGTTCATGCACCACCAAGTAACAGCAGCTGCTCCTTTCCACGATCCAACCAGCGCCTTAGATATATGACGAATAAGTGAATATATCGTGTGCGCTGGCTCTAACAAACAAAAACATACCAAATGATACGTGAGGAAACCTACTTCTTTACTTGAGAAATGCCATCTATGTGCAAGGCACATGCACTGCAAACACACATGCACTTGCAAACCGGCATCTCCTGCGGTCGAGAAGTGCCGATCAGCAAAAAGGCTCCAGTTGTTGAATTTCATGGGGGAGGGAGGAGCAGGGGGTGGTGTCAGCCTGGCATGCCGGGCGTCTTGATGGGGGATAACAGAAGGTTCATGGATGGATTAGTAACCTGAAACACAACACCTTTTATCTTGTGCCTCAGGAGTTGGCACGCGGAGGTAATTCAGCAGCAGATTTTGGTGGACTCGCCTTACCGATGCCCTGAGTCTGAAGGTCAAAAGCACCACAGCGTCTCTGCCAGAGTGACTGGAGCACATCAAAAAAAAAGGAAGGAGAGTTAAAATAGAGGTAGAATGTGGTACGGAGCGGGCAATGGGAAACATCTTAAGCACCGGCAGCAGCGAAGGGATTGATCCTCCACCGAGCTGACAGTCGCAGCCAAGAGCATCCTGTCTTCATCGCGTCCCGTCAAGTCGCGAGTTCAGAGGTCATCTCTCAGTCACAAACTGGACTGTGTCTTTCTCCATCTGCACACTTGTGTCTTGGTTTGACTTTTTCTCAAGATATCATGTCGTTGCATGGACCCGCTGCAGTCTTTCACCTGTTAACATCGGGGCGAAAGTTGCTCTCACATGTGAATGTGAACATTTCATTCGCATGAATTGCGTTGTATGTATCTGATATGCATCTGCTGCAAACATTGCTGCAATTGGCGCAGGTTGCGCTCTATTTCCCCCCAGTTTGCCCGCATTGTAACAAGCTATGGGAGGAGCTGCGGATAAGAGTTGGACACCAAATAAACATGTTTCAGGCGGTGAGACTGAAGTGTTTTCTTCTCCTTCAATGTGAAACCCATTCTCAAGATTCTTCATTTAACAGAAAACATTTAATCTGATATCATTTAGTTTGAATATACAGTGCAAAATGTGGGCGGCTGGGCCCGATTGAAAGTTTTCTCAGCCACTGCAGTGACCTTTTATATTTAACACAAATTTAGGTCAATATATATATAGGTCAAGATATTGAGACCTGATCTTGTGCGTTTTGAACTGTGGTCTCAACACCTGATCCAGAAGCATGTTCTTTCTTGCAGTGGAGAGATGATCAAGCAGCCGATATTGTTTTATTGATTCTTTTCAGGGTATTGTGAATGCAATTTTAATCAATGTAGCACATATTTCATCACAGTTTAAATACAAACAAGAAAAACAAATATTTTTACATTTCCTATTTACACCGTAATAAAGAAATATATTCACATTAAAGCTGCCAACTCCAATGTCAAATGTGTCAAGCAAATATCAATATTGCGTATAACAAAGGTCTTGCTTATCCAGCCCTTCACACAGCATATGTCTGCATCCACAAAGGCAGTTACACTTGCTAAAACATGTGACTTTTTTCAGAGGCATATCTAGTTCTCCCCATGTGACTGGAGGAAAGCTCTCTCTCTCTCTCTCTCTCTCTCTCTCTCTCTCTCTCTCTCTCTCTCTCTCTCTCTCTCTCTCTCACTCCTCCCCGTCCACTGGATTCCATTCCTGGGGTTGAGGGTGTCAGATCCAGTTACTGGGAGAAAACTTCTGTTGAGACAGTGGATGATGAGGGACAATGTGCTGATGAGCGGGACAACTGGGATTAGTGTTTACCTGCCGAATGTACAAAGGCATTTAAATACAAGATGCAATTATAACGGGCTGAGCGGTTGCTTCCTCCTTCCTAGTAACAGGCAACATTTGTCTTTTGTTTCAGACATCCGTTTGGGAAAGAGGTTTTGATTATTTTACACATAAGTGCGAGCCCGCCTGATGTGAAAGCAAATAAGTATGGATTACATTCTCTGGGCTTCTAATTTTTTGGGATGTTTTTTGCAATGGCAACCACTAAAAAAGCGTTGGCTATTTGCCGCCACCTCTTGGATTGGAGTGTGAGGTTTCCTACGGTTTAGGTCAAACTCCCTGTTTCATGCTTTAGGCAAGAATTTACTATATTTGGTATAGAAAATAGATTAGAAGGAAAAATGGCCATTTTCCAAAACCGTATAATATCAAGCCTCTGGGAGAGAAGTAGTTGTTCAATGTTGTTCAAAGAATACGTTTTGTCAATGCATAAGAAGTTAATTTTGGATTTGAGTTCAACAATCTTTTTTATCTAAATTATTACCACATGATTGTACTTCCAAACGTTACTAAAGACAAAACTAAATTTTATGATGGACGCACAAATAAAATGTTGCTTTGGTCAGCAATCCACAATATTACAAATTATATTTATTTATTTATTCATGTCTGAACACACTATAACATTGTGAAAGAATACTGACTAAGATGTAAGTGTTTGTTCCATGTGTTTCAGGTAGATTCATTCCAAGGAAAATCCACATTTCAAAGCACATAACTTTACTAAATGAATCCAGAAAGTTACCTCGTCCAAGTAGCAACACAAATATTCTCCCCAGGTATTGGCCAATTATTTCTTTCTATCGCTCTTTTGTAGCCAATCGGAGAAGGGCTACCGACAGGCGCGCTGTGATTGGTCAAACCCTCCCGGTCAGCTGAGTTGAGGAAGCTATAAATCCTCCTCAGAACTTCAGCCGGCTGCAGTGAATATGTGTCCGAAAGGCAAATAGCGCTGTATTCATTTATATCTGTCTAAACTAACTTATTCTGCACTAAATAATATTTAAGGTAAGTCATTTATTATACGGAGCGAATGGCTGCTAGCTTGAACATGAACAGCTACAGAAACGCTAACGTTAAGTTAGTGTTCTGTAAATGTGTGTGTGTGTGTGTGTGGGGGGGGGGGGGGGGGTCCGTTGTCTTCTTAAGTGCTAACATTCGCCTATTCGTCTTAAAGGGATAACATTACCACATGTGAACGGTTCCCCTTTTCCAGTGAGCAAATCCATCTCACCGAGCCCCCTTTGTCTCTTAAAGAAGTAAAAACAAAAAAGCGACCGTTGGCTGTGACGCTGCTGCTGCTGCTGCTCTCCGTCGCTGCGCAGCCTGCTCGGCTCCAACCACTGGACAACATCTGCCCACACCTGGAGACACATCCACGCTGTCAGCATGGTCGCCACCAGCACGCTGAAGACCAAGAGCAGCGAATGCATTTCCGAATTGGTTGACCGAAGATATGACCGGGCTTACATTGACAAAGGTAGGCGTGCTGGATTGTTCGGTGTGTGTGTGTGTGTGTGTGTGTGTGTGTGTGTGTGTGTGTGTGTGTGGATGACCTGCTAGCTGCTGGATACTTCATGTTGTGTGCTTGTTTACCCCTGTGTGGTGCATGGCTGCAGCAGTGTTGGAGAAGGGAGGGGAGGGGAGAGGAGAGAAGGAGGGGAAGAAAACAGGATGAAGTCATCCCTTCAGCCTCGCTTCACAACAGCAACCTGTGTACGATGGCCACATCGACGCTTTGTATTTCTGTCTGAAGCCGTGTTCTTGTGCTGTTTTAAACGTAGACTCTGATCGGTTGTCATTCACGTGTTTTGCACGGTTTACTGGTCCGCCTGGGATGCGTGTCCTCCTTTGCCCCATGTGTTGACTCCTAATCCACACAGTGCAAACAGAGGAGGGCGTGAAAGCACAATAAACCCATCATCACTTATTAGATAACAGTTCATTCGGTTTGAATAAATCGTATGTGACTATTTTGAGTGCTGGTCCTTTTTTATTGGCAGAGGTATGTTCAAATACCGCCTCTTAACTCTTCAGCTTTCATTGTTTTCCCAGAACTTGACTTCTGGGATCACTGCTTGGCCGAACCCCAGAGGCACGCAGATGTGGCCGAAGACCGCAGCTGTCAACAGCTGGCCAAGATGTTTGAAGACTGCCTGTCTCGAGCCAAGAAGACTACGCTGCACTGCTCCTCCGTGCTGGTGCCGGAGAAGCTGACTCGGCGGATCGCGCGCGAGGTCCTGCGGCTGGCCGCCTGCGAGCCCTGCGGCCTGCGCGGCTGCGTCCTCTACGTGGACCTGGAGCTGGACAAGGGCTGCAAGCGGCTGGAGCGCATCGCCTACGACGCCACCGTGGTGCCCACCTTCGAGCTGACGCTCGTGTTCAAGCAGGACGGCGCCGCCTGGCCCAGCCTCCGGGACTTCCTTTTCATGGGAACCTGCTTCGCCCCGACGCTTAGGCACGTACTTAAACTGAGTCCGGGCTTCCGGCTGGTCAAGAAGAAGCTGTACTCCTCCTCGGCTGGTACCGTGGTAGAGGAGTGCTGAACTGTGGGAGGGATTAGGGCGGGATATCGGGTTTCCTTGTGGGTCAACGCACCTCTGGCCGAATGCAAATGACACTCTGGTGGTGTCATGTTTTCTGCAGTGGACTTGTACAATACGATTTGTCGGCTTTACTCCCAAGTAGCCAGTTGGTTCAGGTTTGAACTTTGGATGTGAAGTAGAATATCTTGTATGCAAACTGCCTGATGGTTCTTTGTCTGGGTTCAGTGTTTCTAGTCCCTTTTTTTTTGGGGGGGGGGGGTTTAATCTGCACAATTGTAATATTCTAGCTGCTCAAACACACTTTTGGAATTCTAAATTCTGCAGATGAATGTAAAACAATGTTCTGGTCAACACGTTTGAGAGGGACATACTGTGGGTACACTTTAGTTAAAGACACAAGCCACTTTGTTGACACATCGGTTTGTCTCCCGTTGAATGTGTTCAGCAGCAGTAAACACGCCTGGGCTTCAGTGGGAGGCTGAGATCTCCTCTTTGAGGGGGCGGGGGGGGGGGTGCGTATGTAGCTTGTTGTGTAATGATGTTATTTGGGCGCAGGATGTTTTTTTTAAGACTGAATGTCTTATGGAGATGCTGCTGTCACGTACGCTCCCTGCTATAGGGGAATGCAGATGCCTTAAATGTCATAGAAATGTACATTTCTCTTCACTATAAGCTGTTTGTATGAATGTAAAAGTTTTATTGTATTTTATACCCCCCCATACCCCGGACTTGCTCAAGAGCCTTTAGAGACTATTAAATAGATGGTTCATACAAATGTAAAAGCTTCTTTGATTTTATGGAACTTTTTAAGTCTGACTGTTCTTTTTGAACTTCCTGTTATAGCAAACTGTCTTCTCTATTAGACAATAAAAAATTAAAAAATCCTAACCTGATTTCACATTTGTAGACTTTAAAGTCGAACCGACATGACTGTGTTTGTATATTCTGGAGCGATGACCAAGCCAGTAGTGGGCAGACAACAGTGGTACAATGCAGGCTTTCTAAACTGGGACAACAAGATCTCTAACAGAATGCTGTGGTTGTCATGTGTCCTCCGGGCTAATGTAACAAAAGAGTTTCCCTCTGGCCATCATGGAGGCCACCGGCGGTCATTGTAGAACCACTTTGTAATGTTTGTTTGCATAACTAATTCATAGGAACTCTCCTTTTGGCTAGATCTAACATTTCCAGCTAGGGAGTCTGAGTCAATTTCTGCTCTTGGCGCTATTTCTATTCTTTGTAATATTTTATTGCATCCCATCTGTTCCAAGGCTGAGAAAAGGTAAGATTGCATATACGTAGCTGCTGCCAAGGCCGTTTCTATAAGCGCTTACCTGCAGAGTTTGTGTGGCATTTCGCTCACCGTCTACAACGGAGCAGTTTCCATGGCGATTGTGAGCCTCCAGTTTGTCAGCTGCACAAATGAGATCTTGACAAACTGAAGATTGTGGCACTAGTACGCAACACGTGTGGTCATTTTGTGCGTGCGTTGCATGATTTAAGGCAAGCGTAATTACACCGGCTTGTTCCACGTGTTGATTGCATAAAGGTTCCACCAGTCCTACTGTCCCGTCATTCACGCACAAACAATTGGCCCGGGCCCCATGGTTACAGGAGCTTAATGGCAGAAGCACATGATCTTGTGCAAGATGCATCCCTGTCATTGTGGGGGGGGGGCGGACAAAGCACCAGTGATGACACTTGGTGTCACGTGTACCAGCCCTAGCTTGACCCCCCGCCTTTCCCACAGCTGTGCAAATGTGGGTCAGCAATACCAGTTGGCTTTGGGGGCCCGCAATATGTGGGCGGAGAACCAGTGGTGAATATCATAAACTACGTATTGCAGAATGTGTTAGCTGAGAATTTGTCAGACCTTTCAAAAGTAATGAAATGTTCAACCCGTCTTCAAATATCCACTATATCGGGAATCTTCTTCAAGTGCAACATTACAGTATGCTGTGTGTACTGAAGCAGCTCAGTCGTGAATCTGTTGACTGTACTCGAGGTTCTCTGTGTTGACGTGATTCATCTCGAGTCGCACGGCGTGGGTTTCAGCCGCTGTGAAACGGGGGCTTGACCGCCACAGCTGCGGAGCCGATCTGACTGAGCACAATGATTGTATCTGGCCCCGGTGCCTACGCAGCACACTGGGGAGCCATGACAACCTACCGACGTTTACCAGCTTTGAGTCCCTCTCCCTCCCCCAGGAGCCGTCTTAGTCACTGGATAGGCCTGTTTGTTCCCCCGAACCATGTGGCCGTGATTCCATTTTTTTCCATCTGACCCACCAGTGGGATCCGATACGTTTTATCCGACTTCAATCCTTTTTGCCTTTGGATTATCATGTTTTCTATTTGTTAATTTCCAGGATATTCCCAGCCGATCTCATCAGACCTGGCTTTCTTTTTTTTTTTGTACCTTTTCAAATATCTGTCCACTCTGTATGCATCTCTAGCACAGTATAGAAATAGACCCCTGTTCACTCATTCACTATTTCCACTTGGCGCCAGGTGGCCGAACACGGACTGATGTTCAGTTAGTTGCTGCCCTGTGAAACCGTGGAGCACGACATAGAGCGAGCCAACATTCCATGTAACTGCAATCCAAATCCAAATGCAGTTTTCAGGTATGGTGACTTTGCAGTGGTCTCGAGCTGCTCTGACAAGTACACATCCAGAAAAGGCTCCACTCCTGTAAAAGTGTGTCTGGTAAACATGAGCTTGCTCTTTGCTCACTGCACCCAGTAATTCCCAGTAATTGAAATACAAATCTTCTTCTGACGCTGCTGCAGTTTGAGCTGGCACCATGTGATGTTGGTGAGTGGAATTTAAAATCCACTTTGCATTGCCAAGTAGCAAGTAGTAGCATGTAACACCTTAGCACTGGGGGCAGTCTGACATAGGAGTAGTTTGTTTTTCACCATTATAGGCATTTGGTATCGAATTTGATCCGACAGCACAGAAGATTCGTCCGGCCATTCGGTGTGTTTTCCTCACAGCCTTTCGGCCTTCACAGTTATTTCAGTGTTTTACACTTTATGGACTGTTGATCAACTTGGTATTTGAAAGAAGTCTGACCCTCCCATCATCTAAACCCGGCATTGAAATGTTTGCGAGCACATGATTCAGAATTGGTTACAGCAAGGGGTCATAGATACCTTGTGCTGATGGGTGCAACACTGCGTAAAAGTACAGGCGGGAATTCGGTGTCTTATGTTTTATTTTACTCGATTTTACATGTGATCTTAAATAAAACATTGCGACATCCATGGAACATATAATAGCCCCAACGGACACATGATGCACACGTTTAACTGCAGGGTATTCTGAAAAAAACAAGGATATTTTGAGATGTTGCTATGCTATTTGCAGCAGTTTGCGAACAGTTTGCGAGCAGCTTGCTGCTTGGGTGAAATCGTCTTCAAGACAATGGCCCCTCCTGTTGATAGAACGGCTTGATTGGAAATGCAAAGATTTTTGTGCATGAACTTCTTTAGAACAAGCTGTATAGCAAGAATTCTTTAGCCGTGATACTTTGTCAACAGTCGAGTGTCATTCCATTTTTTTTGCATAAATAGACAAGAGATAGCTCTGCATACTCCAAAAAAAGCTGCTATCATGGTGTACATTATAAACTACGATACAAATCTCTCAGAAACACATAAAATAAACAGCCAGTTTGAGCCTTGATGATAAAGTGCATCTCCGCTGTCAATCTTTCCGCTGGGTTGCACAGACACTCTGAAAGTTAAACAGGAAGTGCTTTAGTTGGAGCGACAAGGTTTGTTTTTCCAAAGACGTTTTTTTACAGTAAGGTTTAACATGACAGTCTTTCCAAATCGCAGTTTAAATCTCATTTTAATAACAGAGTTTTCATTTGTAAACTTAATTAAAAAAAAGTGATGTCGTAACTCATTTAATTGTTGCCTAAGAATTTAGGAGCAGTAAAGTAGTAACGACCCCTTTCACACCTGCCTCTTCATTATCATTAATTTAATAGTTAGTTAAATGTATTTTACTTCAATATTCCCCTAATAAGCATCCAAAATGTTCCTTTCTTTAAGTAAAACCTGGACTCCTCTTTTCGAACAACACACAGAATTGTGAAATTATATGCAAACTGTAGGAGAATGTTTTCCCAGCAAAATATCAGTCACAGTTTTTCAGACATCGTACTGCCATCGAGTGGTGAAAATAAATATTAAATATGCCACTTCCAAAAATGATTTCATTGCTGATAAGGGATATTCAATATTTACGAACAAAAGCATGTATTGTATTTTTTTTTATAACAAATACTTTATTTTATTTAAAGCGAAATTACTTTGTTTTGACAGTTTACAGGAAATGACTTGACACTGTCGTCGATGCGGTTGCCAGGGAAACACAAACACCTGCCAGTCGACGATTGACTTGTTACTTTGAACTAACGTTCGCTTTATTTGATAACTCTTAGACTATTTTACCTGTGTATTCCTATGTTTCCTGTTTTATTGTCACTGACTGTAAATGCCACCAAAAGCAAGTAAAAAGGGCTCAGCCAAGAATCTTCCAGCAGCGACACTTTTCAACAAGAACTGGGAGGCTGCTCTCACCAGAGCTCAGTTTGAAGAGGTCTGTTGTCTAATTAACGGTTAACTGACGTCTGTCTTGGTCGGTGTTACATAAATAATTCGTTTGTTGAAAATATTTCCTCTAATCACACAAATTTGAACTTGTAGAGGCGTTTCTTCCGGTTGCTGGTAGCTGGCAACAATGTCTATGGACGTGTTACATCTTTTAGTTTACGATAGAGAGAATAAATTATCCTCTAAACGGCTTTTCGATATAACTTTAGTACCGTCTACAATGTCACATTTTCCGGTGATAATATTCTGCCCAACATACTTCTTGCGGTAAAATAACCATAATTATAAGTATATATATATTGCATTAAAACCAGTGACCCTTTGAGCTTTTATTTTGAAGGTAAGAAGTCTTAACCGGAAGCGTTCGTTTTTAGGTTTAAATCAACGCAACCTGTGCTGAATGACTTAAACAATGAACGCGTGCGTTATTGCTGTGCTGTCGTGATGCCCTGCACAGGAGTCATGGGGAGCCTGCGTGTCTCTGGTGGTCGGCGCGAGCCCAGAGGACGAGGAACTGACCCGGGAGCTGTCCATGGCTGCTCAGAAACCAGTACGCAAACGTTTCACCGTGTTGACCCGGGACAGCACCTTGGCAAAGGTATGCTGAGTTCGGATCAAGTTTTTATAATCTATTTATTAACATAAGTCATGCTGTCACTGCAGTACTGGATCTAAAAAACGAATGTAGCTTATTAATAAGCTGAACGGAACTTGGCACTGATGTTGATCTCTATTAATCTCGTGTGTCTATGCTTCTCCATACTCTATATTGGGTTATCCACAAAATCTCTCTTTTTAATTTTTTGTTCTAATCTACATATTTGGTCGCCCTTCTCGCTTTATTGAAAATGTTCTCCTGCCATCATAACAGATCAATGAACTGGGGAATCCCAGAGCAAAAAAACCTGAAGTCGTCCCCACGTTCTATGAGGTAAGCCTGGGAATGAGAGTTTTCCACTATGCTGTGTGTGTCTATCATTGTGTTCTGATTGTCTAATACAAAACCCTGCGTAATTTGTGTGCGTGTGTTTCTATGTGCTGGCTTTGTTCTGGTCTATTTGTCTATTCGGGTCTTGTGTAGGTAACAGAGTCTGCTAAGTCGCTGCTGGATGCTGGAGAAGAAATTGGTTGTGATTTGATGGCAAAAATACTGAAGTTTCAGCTGCTACAGATCAAAGCCGATGACCAGCAGAGGAGGGAAGCTGAGCAGCTTCAGGTTGCAGTTGCAGTATTTGTTGCATTGAAGATAACTTTTGAAGTATTGAT